TATCTAATTTGAAAAATCGAAGGAGATTTATTGAAGTCATGCATTCGTAGAAGTATTTCCTTGAGATATATGTAAAAATCATTGATACAAACTTCGATTATGAATTGAAAAATAAAATATTTTCATTTATATGAAAACAAACTTTTTGTTAATCTTAGAATCACATTCATTCTAAAGATGTCTTGTAAACTCATTTCTTAAGTTATTCTTCTGTTATACGTTCGTTCGTACTATCACTGATAGCACTGACGACTTTCAGTCAAAGGTAGAAATAATGATAGAGAATGTTCTCTAGTTGATGATGAGTTATTTATTAATAAAAACTTTCACATAGTCAACTATTATAAAGTCTTTTCTTATAATTGGTACCAATTTGAGCTCTGCAACTAGTAAGATGACTTAGACGCATCAGCATTATCAATTTACAATCAAAAATGATAACATTCAGTCAGTTTTAATAGACATCGTTGTGATATAATATACTATGATATATCAGTTTCAAAACGACACTATTTATCACATGAGTAGATTGATACGTATATACTTTGTGTAAACACTACGATTTCAAAAAAGTTATTAGCATGACTTCTTTCTATATTTACATTTGATAAAGATAGAATAAACTAAAAAGTAACAATAGAAACAAGATCGAAACGATATGAATTTATGTTTAAACTTTTTTTTTCAAATTTCTGTAAGGAAACTTGATATATTTTAGGTATCTGAAGTGAATCCAAATGCTGAATTAATATTACCATCATGTTCAATGTGTCAACAAGAATCGAATTGACCATTATTAGCTGTATCAAAAGGATTATCTGAAGGCACAATGATCAAAGGAAGGCAACTGACAACATCAATAGTAGATTTGTGAGCAAAATCTTATACCTAATTCAACACATTTCCAATATTTATCTTGACGTTCTTGAACATATGATTGTTCACAAAGAAAAACAATCATTTTACTTTGTGCTGTCCATCGTGTTACTTGATCTGTACGTAATTCTTGATTATCCATAAGAGCTATCAGCAGGACATGGTAGTATTTTTTTCCAAAATTCTTACTCTTTAAGGGAAGACTTCAAGATCGAAGTCTCGCTTATGGCCTTGATAAATCTAATATGGTAACAGTTCCGGTCTAAAGAAAACTATTCTAGAATTTATTCGTATCACACCTAAAAATTCTTCAATACTTGTTTTTGTATTTAGTCGACAACTAGCACTTTTTGGGACATTTCTCTTGATCCCACACATCTTGAATATGTATTTTTATTTGCACAAAAATAAAAAACTGCACTATTGAGAACATTTACAAATGTATTTCAGCCATTCAAATTTCGAGAAAGACTGGAATGTTTTAGAGTGATCTAACGAGGGAATCTCAAAACATAGACTCACTATATTTTTTTCTTCGAAGAAAAAAATGATTCAAAATGATATTTACATTTTGTACACCATTACATTTAAGCATAAATATATGTTTAGAAAATAATAAATGTCTTCGTGGAATAAGACGTGAGCGTTGCATACCACCATGATACATTGTTGAACATGTTAAATCACCACGTATTTCACAATGTGAAGACATTCATCAATCCAACGTATTAATAAAACAGTTAAATGACGTGCTAATGCACGAACAACTTTTCATGATAAAGCACAAACGAATGGAATTATTGTATCATCAGTTATTAAATGTGTTGTTTTTTCATCGATTTCATCTGAATAATGAATATTAAAGCGTTGAAGAAATTGATCAAGATGATCCTGATTGAAACAATAATAATAATTGTTTTTTTTTCTTTTTCGATTATTCTTACTATTTGTTCATCAGTTAGGCGAGATGCAGTTATTGAAATTGATTTTTGAGCCAAAATATAATCATCAGCATGACTATCAATTGACCTAGCAGATGAACATGCTTGATTAGACTAAATATATATATATAAAAGAAAATACACAATTCATATTCTTCATCTATGACCTTACATCGGATGTTGCCGTTGACTCATCTATAGTTGTTGATGTATTAAGTAAAATTGATTGAACAGGTGGTACTAAGATTATTAGAAAAAAAGACAAACAAATTCGATTTTCTTATAACATGAAACATGTATCATACTATTTTGAGTTGAATCATATCGACATCGTCTAAGAAGAATCCATTCATCTGACTTTCGACGTTTATTACTATTATTATATTGACTAGAGTTGTAGAGGATATTTGCGACGATTGTTTGTTTATAGATGTTGATGCTAAATCATATAAGAATAATATGATATATATGATTAATTTATTGATTAGTAGAGCAAAGGGATAATAAATACTCATAAGAATATTTTTCGAACGGATATAAAATGACCATCCTTTTATTTTAGGAAGAAATTCAAAGCAAAAAATAGTGGTTGCATTTGAAAGGATATCATATCTATGGTTTTAAGACAGAAATTGGCGGTGCATCGAATGGTATATAAGATATCAACGTTAAAGTCAGATTCTGATGTATATGGTATTCACTATATGGTATTTATTAGTAGCACAGCATTGCTGATGAACTGATAAAAGTAACTTTTTTAATAAATAGAAAAAGAAATTGACCTCGAGTTACATGAACATAAGAGATTTAGAGACTCGTCTAGAGCTTTATGTATAAAGCAAACCTGAATACTCTAAATAAAACTTTGAAAAAGAAGTAATACAAATAGCAGATTTCTTTCCTGTCACCTTATTTCCGTATCCACTGCCAACGGTCTGGAGGCCAACAAATTTTTTTTCTATTTATAAAAGAGTTATTTTGTATCAGTTCATCGGGGATGCTATGCTGATTATAGATATATAATAGTTTTCGAAAGAATCGCTCCGTATTGTTGAAATATCGTTAAGATATAATCTAGATCTAAGAAAAACGAATCATCTTTAAGCATGAAGAGAACCAATAACTGTATCGAATTCAATTTAAAAACTAAATTTGTATGATTTTATCTTAAGAACCACAATATCTATGAGTGCCATCTATATTCTTCAAAAGATGATAACCAATTTATGCACTTAGAGCACAACAAAATTTGAGTCAGTGTTGACTTCTTATATACCATTCAATGCGCGCGAAAATGCTCTAATAATATCAATACCACTTACAATTCGGTTGTGCTGTTTTTCGGCGTCAATCTATTTAGAATTCAAACAGAAGTGAAATGTATCATTAAACAAATCAATAACCTACTTTTACGATCAAGAGTTAAAGGTGTTTCAATAGCTAAAAATAAAATAAAATAATTTTCATTCTAAGAAAATTTCAATACTAATTAGAATACTAACAACATCGAATTTTTGATGGTATCATTGTTGCTGTTATTGTTGTTGCCTTTGATGATGCAGCAGCAGTTGCTAATTGTTGAATTAATTGTCTACGTTTTGATTCTTTAACAGTTATACCTAATGTTTGATGATAATGTCCAACACAAAGACTTCTATAAGCAACAAATGCCTGACATTCTTCTCCACCATCATATTTACATAATTGTCTCCAAACTCGTCCAGTAAATCTTTGTCTTTCAATCAAGCCGTCACGTCGAACATGTACACGAATTTGATCTTTATCAGGTAAATTTGACGATGTACTTGCTGTTGTCGTCATATTTTCTTTATTATTAGACCTCTGTTTTTTCAAAAATTATTATCTATTACAATAAAAGAATAAAGTTAGAAGTCAAACAAATAATAGAGCTCATTCTTAACCAAATATATCTTCATTTATATTTTTTTTTGTACACAAAAAATATTTGATATAAAAACGACAAAACAAAATAAATAAATAAATTTCAATTATAATGGAGTTCTTCATATAACGAATATGCTTTTGGACAATATTTAAGTACGGATTCAAGAACCCAATCGGATGAAACAAAATGTATACCTAATGAACGACATTGATCATAATTGTGACGTCGTTTTGATACATATAATTTATCATAGAGAACAACAATTTCAAATTGATCAAGTAAACTCTTTGTGTCACGCATGTTATTATTCGTCCATCACCTGCTGTGATTAAATCTTGTAAACGATCATTTGTCATTTTAATTTCATTATTTTCCGTACATTTGATAATAAAACATATATATTCAAAAAAGTGACTGACGTTTATCAATTGAACGTGAACGTTTTGGACCATCTTGAGAATGATAATCTGTATCATCACCTTCAATTTCATATGCACCTTTATCAACAATTCGATCATATTTAATATAACCTATTAACCAACGATATGAAACACAAAAACAATGATTAGCTATAACTTCAATGAATTTCATTAATAATGGTGAACGTAATGTATGTGTATCATCATTTGCTATTAAATGCGTTGCTTCAGAATTAATTGATGCTGTTTGTGTAATGCAAGATGAATATTTTCGTAGAAATTCATCTATTCTATCCTTGAATATTGTAATCGCGAACAGCTTACTAATTGATAACGTTCAAGACATGATACAGAAAAAACAATTGATTTATTTGTATATATCTCTCTAAATAATAATAATAAGATAAAATAAAACAAGATTTTATTCATAATATTTTATATGAATATAAAACATACACGAAATCGAATTGGCATTTCATCAGTATCTAAATCAGCTATTGTTATTGCTGATGGTGGATTTGTAGTAGTTGCAGATAATTCACCAGCTATTGGTTGAATTTCATAGATACTTTCATTGTTAATAGAGTTTTTTGGACTTAAATCTTTATTTAATTTATTTGAAGAAAAATTGTCTGTAACATGATGAGTACATCTTTTGTGTTTCTAAATGATTATAATTTATAAAAAATGAATCTTCAATGGTTTATAATTAATTATAAAATATAATTTCTACTTGATATAACGTCAAGAACTCCAATATGCCTAGAGCATATGGAAGTCACTAACTTAATGTGACTGAATGGAGAAAAAGATATTCTTTATGAGATTCGAATCTCACACCTTCTGAATATCCAAGCAGATGTTTTCAGTATCGATCCTTTTTTCTGATGACGTGATTTTTGAGTACCTCCTAAGAAGATCATATGGAAACATTTACCAGTAGTTTCTATGTTGTATGTTCAGGAACTTATGCTGAGGTGATTACATTTTTTTTATGCTGTAAAAACTATATATAAATGGGATTCTGTTACACAAACTGAAACGTCGAACTATTCAGATAAGAGTCATAACTATGAAGGTATCTTCATAGTTATGAACTGGCATCGTTTTGTTTTGTCATCAAACATTCATCGCTCTTAGATTGCGGAGTATCGTGATTAAAGAAGACCGTGATGCTCGCTCCTGAAATAACCTCTTGCTCTCGAAATTAAAACAAATATTGGAATTTCAGTCGTCTCTTGGTAATTACACCAGGCTTTTGTTTGTTCATGTAAATTACCCTTTTTTTCCTATCAGGAAAAAATACCAACATGACATATACGAACCTTAATGTAATCGGCACGAAAAAATTTGCTTCATATATCACATTTTATTTTGCTGATTGCTTCAAAATTTTATTTGGATGCAGATGTCGGAGATAACCGATCTTCTCCAATATCTCATTGATTAACTAAAACTTGCATTGGATCTTGTTCCATTCCATTACCTGTGTTGGAATAAATTGCTATATATAAAAGAAAAAAACAAGGGAGATTATTATAATTTGAATCATTAATTATTTACTTGATTGATCACTTATTAACGTATTTGTTTTCATATGAGATTTATTACACTATATATAAAAAAAATAAATAAAACGAGTTTTTAATTTTATTCTTGAATAATTTTTTCTTGAGATGTATGATTATTATTCAATGTAGTTGCAAATTATCCTTGATGTACTTTTCTCATATGACGTAAATAATCTGCTCGATGTGCAAATTCATGTTGACATCTTGAACAGTACTTATTTTTAGGATTTAATTGTTTTAGTCGATGAATTCTTATATCATTATCCTAAAGTTTATTTCCAATTGTAAAGGTGCGAATATAGGTATTCATGTCTTTTCATCTACACCCACACCCAGCTGCCGCCAATTTATTTTCAAAAAATAACTATAACATCTATGACAATTAAAACGACAAAATCAGTAACCGACAGATCCAACATGTCTATCTCAGCACTCAGCCGTATCGCCAAAGCCAAGCCTAATATGCCAGTAATATCTCCGAGTAATGCAACTGGAATAACTATATTATACACAAAACAAAAGACGTGCCAGTAGTTAATAGGGAAACAGAAAAAAACTCGAATTTCGTCTAGAATTAAAGGACAAACACATTAGAATTTCGAATATTCCATAGGACAACTGCAAGTCAATACTGTTCATAATTTCAAACTTGTTTGATTACACTCGAACAGTAGTAAGTCGAATGTAAATAATCTCAAAAGGTTTCCTCGTGAGATATGCGCGTCTTATTGTGACGACAGTATTCGATTTCACGATTCAATCGCACGTAAATGATTTGAGATTCGGTTTGCCGTCACACGCACGTATCATCAATACCAGCTAAAAATCAAAATTAGCATTAGGTCGTAATTAGTTACAACGTGGCTCAATTATGATCGTGCAACATACTCAGAATTTTGAACGTGTTAAGGGTATGGGTGTGTGCCAGTGTCACGTTCTATCCACACCCACCCCCTTTAAATATTTTTTTCTAATTCCTTAGACTCTGCCGAATGCATCTATCCTATTAAAAAAACTTAACTTTTTGGATATCATTGAAACAAGAATTTTTACAATTAATAATTCCTAGATCTCTTGTCAATAGTCCTAATACAAATCCATTTCTCAATTACATGTGGAATTCACAAGTAGGATAAGAACAAAAAATAAAAATAAAAATTCTCTTAATCCTTTTTTAGAGCATCGTGCAACAACAACAACGTCTGGCTCATGTTCTTGCAATAGTACAAGATTTAAAAGCTTTATCCAGTAAGAAGAAAGAAAAAAAAACATTATTTTATAAAAGTGTTTTATTTTAATATTTCATTTCCAAGGATTTATTCATTCAAACAACAGTACAATATTTATGTAAAAAGCTCCTCAGTTATTACAATTACCTTCAAAAAATTATACAAATCATCAACAAATTGCTAATGTCGCAATAATAAATATACTTTTACATGGGTGGTCTCTGGCTTCGTAGTAGGACTATATTTCCTATATTTCCTATATTTTTTAAATTTCTCCTATAATGGACTATATTTCAAGCTTTTTTCCTATATTCCTATATTTTTCGAAAAACTGAAGATACTTTTGAAAAAAGTCACATATTTTTCAAAAATGTGTCTTGCACGTTGTGTAAATATTGTCCCTAATGTCTATAACATAAAACCTAAGTNAAGATAAAATAAAACAAGATTTTATTCATAATATTTTATATGAATATAAAACATACACGAAATCGAATTGGCATTTCATCAGTATCTAAATCAGCTATTGTTATTGCTGATGGTGGATTTGTAGTAGTTGCAGATGATTCACTAGCTATTGATTGAATTTCATAGATACTTTCATTGTTAATAGAGTTTTTTGGACTTAAATCATTATTTAATTTATTTGAAGAAAAATTGTCTGTAATATGATGAGTACATCTTTTGTGTTTCTAAATGATTATAATTTATAAAAAAATGAATCTTCAATGGTTTATTTTAATTATAGAATATAATTTCTACTTGATATAACGTCAAGAATAGACATTAATAAGAAACTATTGCGAAACTACGTGATTGACCTTTTCATTATGTTTTTAGATCATTAGAAGAAATATTAACACATCGACGTGACAAATCCATGACTTATATACTGTATCAGGAGATTATAACAGTATTATCGAAAGTATTTAGTAGTCTGTAAACTTCAGTACGCCTAGAGTCTATGGAAGTCACTAACTTAATGTGACTGAATGGAGAAAAAGATATTCTTTATGAGATTCGAATCTCACACCTTCTGAATATCCAAGCAGATGTTTTCAGTATCGATCCTTTTTTTCTGATGACGTGACTTTTGAGTACCTTCTAAGAAGATCATATGGAAAACATTTACCAGTAGTTTCTATGTTGTACATTCATGATCTTATGTCGAGGTGATCACATATTTTTTTTATGCTGTAAAAGCTATATATAAATGGGATTCTGCTACACAAACTGAAACGTCGCACTATTCAGATAAGAGTTTTTCAATGAAGGTATCTTCATAGTTATGAATTGGCATTGTTTTGTCTTGTTGTTCATGTAAATTATCCTTTTTTCTATCAGGAAAAAATACCAATATGACATATACGAACCTTAATGCAATCGGCAGGAAAAAATTTGTTACATATATCACATTTTATTTTGCTGCTTGATTCAAAATTTAATTTGGATGCTGATCTTGGAGATAGCCGATCTTCTCCAATATCTCATTGATTAACTAAAACTTGCATTGGATCTTGTTCCATTCCATTACCTGTGTCGGAATAAATTGCTATATATAAAAGAAAACAACAAGGGAGATTATTATAATTTGAATCATTAATTATTTACTTGATTGATCACTTATTAAAGGATTTCTTTTAATATGAGATTTATTACGCTATATATAAAAAAAATAAATAAAACGAGTTTTTAATTTTATTCTTGAATAAGTTTTTCTTCAGGTGTATGATTATTATTCAATGTAATTGCAAATTATCCTTGATGTACTTTTCTCATATGACGTAAATAAACTGATCGATGTGCAGATTCATGTTGACATCTTGAACAGTACTTATTTTTAGGATTTTATTGTTTTAGTCGATGAATTCTTATATCATTATCCTGAAGTTTATTTCCAATTGTAAAGGTGCGAATGTGGGTATTCATGTCTTTTCATCTACACCTACACCCAGCTGCTGCCAATTTATTTTCAAGAAATAACTGTAACATCTATGACAATTAAAGCGACAAAATTAGTATCCGGCAGATCCAACATGTCTATCTCAGCAGTCAGCCGCATCGCCAAAGTCGAACCTAATATGCCGGTAATATCTCCTAGTAATGCAACTGCAATAACTATATTATACATAAAACAAAAGACATGCCAGTAGTTAATAGGGAAACAGAAAAAACTCTGATTTCGTCTAGAATTAAAGGACAAACACATTAGAATTGCGAATATTCCATAGGACAACTGCAAGTCAATACTGTTCATAATTTCAAACTTGTTTGATTACACTCGAACAGCAGTAAGTCGAATGTAAATAACCTCAAAAGGTTTCCTCGTGAGATGTGCGCGTCTCATTGTGACAACAGTATTCGATTTCACGATTCAATCGCACGTAAATCATTTGAGATTCGATTTGTCGTCACACGCACGTATAAAAAATACCAACTAAAAATCAAAATTAGCATTAGGTAGTAATTAGTTACAACGAGGCTCAATAATGATCGTGCAACATACTCAGAATTTTGAACGTGTTAAAGATGTGGGTGTATGCCAATGTCACGTTCTACCTCCATCCACACCCACCCACACCCTCTTTTATTACTTGTAATAGCACTTCGCCGAGCATGATCAACTGAGCGATATATTGACTTATTTTATCGACTTTGTTATAATTTGAAGGACAAGTTCGAAAATTAAAAACAAAAATAAATATATCATATTTGTTGATTCTTTTTTGATAGTTATTACGACTTGCTCAAGCAGTTCGTTATGTGAATGTATTTTTTATTTTGATAATCAACGTTACAATCAAAATACCGAAGACTATAATTTCACGAAATCAATCATAACTCATCGGGACTCAAATCGCAACTGTTCATCTCTACAGAGATTCCCTCTTCTTCTCAAAGAAAGGGCATGATAATTTGTCAAAGCATTTATTCATTTCCACTATATATAATCATTTTTTTTAAATATTTTTTTCTAATTACTTAGACTCTACCAACTGTATCTATCCTATTAAAAAAACTTAAACTGTTTGGATAACATTGACACAAGAAATATTACAATTAATAATTCCTACATCTCTTGTCAATAGTCCTAATACAAATCCACTTCTGCATTACATGTGGAATTCACAAGTAAGATAAGAACAAAAAATAAAAATTCTCTTAATCCTGTTTTAGAGCATCATGCAACAACAACAACGTCTGGCTCATGTTCTTGCAATAGTACAAGATTTAAAAGCTTTATCCAGTAAGAAGAAAGAAAAAAAAAACATTATTTTATAAAAGTGTTTTATTTTAATATTTCATTTCATAGGATTTATTCATTCAAACAACAGTACAATATTTATGTAAAAAGCTCCTCAGTTATTACAATTACCTTCAAAAAATGATACAAATCATCAANGAATATGTATTTTTATCTGCACAAAAATCAAAAACTGCACTATTGAGAACATTTACAAATGTATTCCAGCCATTCAAATTTTGAGAAAGACTTTGGAATGTTTTAGAACGATTTAACGAGGGAATCTCAAAACATAGACTCACTATATTTTTTCTTCGAAGAAAAAAATTATTCAAAATGATATTTACATTTTGACACCATTATATTTAAGCATAAATATACGTTTAGAAAATAATGAATGTCTTCGTGGAATAAGACGTAAACGTTGCATAGCACCATGATACATTGTTGAACATTTTGAATCACCACGTATTTCACAATGTGAAGACATTCATCAATTCAACGTATCGATAAAACAGTTAAGTGACGTGCTAATGCATGAACAGCTTTTGATGATAAAGCACAAACAAATGGAATTGTTGTATCATCAGTTATTAAATGTGTTGTTTTTTTTCATCAATTTTATCTGAATAATGAATATTAAAACGTTGAAGAAATTGATCAAGATGATCCTGATTGAAACAATAATAATAATTGGTTTTTCTTTTTTTTCCGATTATTCTTATCATTTGTTCATCAGTTAGGTGAGATGGAGTTATTGAAATTGATTTTTGAGCCAAAATATAATCATCAGCATGACTATCAATTGAACTAACAGATGAACATGCTTGATTAGACTAAATATATAAAAAACAAACCAAAAATAAAATACAATTCATTTTCTTCATCTATGATCTTACATCGAATGCTGCAGTTGACTCATCTATAGTTGTTGATGTATTAAGTAAAATTGATTGAACAGATGGTACTAAGATTATTAGAAAAAAGACAAGAAAATTCGTTTTTCTTGTAATACGAAACATGTATCATACTATTTTGAGTTGAATCATATCGACATCGTTTAAGAAGAACCCATTCATCTGACTTTCGACATTTATTACTATTATTATTGACTAGAGTTTTAGAGGATATTTGCGACGATTGTTTTTTTACAGATGTTGATGCTAAATCATATCAGAATAATATGATATACATGATTAATTGACTGATTAGTAGAGTAAAGGGATAAAAAAATACTCGTAAGAATATTTTTCAAACAGATATAAAATGGGCATCCTTTTATTTTAGGATGAAATTTAAAGCAAAAATTGGTGCTTGCATTTGAAAGGATTTCATGTCTATGGTTTTAAGAGAGCAATTGGTGGCGCATCGAATGGTATATAAGATATCAACGTTAAAGTCAGATTCTGATGTATATTGTATTCACTATATGGTATTTATTAGTAGCACAGAATTGCTGATGAACTGATAAAAATAACATTTTTAATAAATAGAAAAAAAAATGGTCTCCAGATCCATGGAGGGGACTACAGTGACATGAACATAAGAGATTTAGAGATTCGTCTAGAGCTTTATGTATAAAGCAAACCTCAATACTCTAAATAAAACTTTGAAAAAGAAGTAATACAAATAGCAGATTTCCTTCCTATCATCTTATTTTCGTATTCACTGCCAACGGTTTGGAGGTCAACAAATTGTTTTTCTATTTATAAAAGAGTTATTTTGTATCAATTCATTTGAGATGCTGTGCTGATTATAGGTATACAACAGCTTTCAAAAGGACCGTTGCGTATTGTTAAAATAGCGTCAAGATATAATCTAGATCTAAGAAAAACGAATCATCTTTAAGCATGAAGAGAACCAATAACTGTATCGAATTCAGTTGAAAAACAAAATTTGCATGATTTTATCTTAAGAACCACAATATCTATATTCTTCAAAGATGATAACCAATTTATGCACTTAGAGCACATCAAAGTTTGAGTCAATGTTGATTTCTTATATATCATTCAATGCGCGCGAAAATGCTTTAATAATATTAATACCACTTACAATTCGGTTGTGCTGTTTTTCGTCGCCAATCTATTTAGAATTCAAACAAAAAAGAAATTCATCATTAAACAAATCAATAACCTACGTTTCAGACCAAGAGTTAAAGGTGTTTCAATAGCTAAAAATAAAATAAAATAATTTTCATTCTAGGAAAATTTCGATATTAATTAGAATACTAACAACATCGAATTTTTGAAGGTATCATTGTTGCCTTTGATGATGCAACAGCAGTTGCTGATTGTTGAATTAATTGTCTACGTTTTAATTCATTAACAGTTATATCTGATGTTTGATGATAATGTCCAACACAAAGACTCCGATAAGCAACAAATACCTTACATTCTTCTCCATCACTATATTTACATAATGGTCTACAAATTCGTGTATTAAATCTTTGTCTTTCAATCAAACCATCACGTCGAACATGTGCACGAATTTGATCTTTATCAGGTAAATTTGACGATGTACTTGCTGTTGTCGTCATATTTTCTTTATTATTAGACCTCTGTTTTTTTTTAAAATTATTATCTATTACAATAAAAGAATAAAGTTAGAAGTCAAGCAAATAATAGAGCTCATTCTTAACCAAATATATCTTCATTTATATTTTTTTTTGTACACAAAAAATATTTGATATAAAAACGACAAAACAAAATAAATAAGTAAATTTCAATTATAATGGAGTTTCTTCATATAACGAAAATCGGATGAAATAAAATGTATACCTAATGAACGACATTGATCAGAATTATGGCGTCGTTCTGATACATATAATTTATCACAGAGAACAACAATTTCAAATTGATCAAGTAAATCCCTTGTGTCACGCATGTTATTATTCGTTCATCACCTGTTGTGATTAAACCTTGTAAACGCACATTTGTCATTTTAATATCATTATTTTCCGTACATTTGATAATAAAACATATATATTCAAAAAGTGACAGACGTTTATCAATTGAACGTGAACGTTTTGGACCACCTTGAAAATGACAATCTGTATCATCACCTTCAATTTCATATGCACCTTTATCAAAAATTTGATCATATTTAATATAATCAATTAATCAACGATATGAAACACAAAAACAATGATTAGCTATAGCTTCAATTAATTTCATTGATAATGGTGAATGTAATGTAGGTTTATCATCATTTTTTATTAAATGAGTTACTTCAGAATTAATTGATGCTGTTTGTGTAACGCGAGATGAATATTGTCGTAGAAATTCATCGACTGTATCCTAAAATATTTCAATATGATTACATATGGAATATTGTAATCGCGAATAACGTACTAATTGATAACGTTCAAGACATGTTACAGAAAAAACAATTGGTTTATTTGCATCTCTCTAAATAATAATAACAAGATAAAATAAAACAAGATGTTATAATATTTTATATGAATATAAATCATACACGAAATCGAATTGTCATTTCATCAGTATCTAAATCAGCTATTGTTATTGCTGATGGTAGATTTGTAGTAGTTGCATATAATTCACTAGCTATTGGTTGAATTTCATAGATACTTTCATTGTTAATAGAGTTTTTTGGACTTGAATCATTATTTAATTTATTTGACGAAAAATTGTCTGTAGCATGATGAGTACGTCTTTTGTGTTTCTAAATGATTATAATTTATAAAAAATTAATCTTCAATGGTTTATTTTAATTATAGAATATAATTTCTACTTGATATAACGTCAAAAATAGACATTAATAAGAGGATTATATGGAAACGTTTACCAGTAGTTTCTATGTTGTATGTTCATGATCTTATGTCGAGGTGATCACATATTTTTTTTATGCTGTAAAAGCTATATATAAATGGGATTCTGTTGCACAAACTGAAACGTCGCACTATTCAGATAAGAGTTTTTCAATGAAGGTATCTTCATAGTTATAAATTGGCATTGTTTTGTTTTGTCATCAAACATTCATCGTTCTTAGATTGCGGAGTATAGTGATTAAGCCTAGGACTACCAAGCTTATTTTTGGAAATAATATGATGACATGCATTTTTATTCTATGATTTTGATTGCTGAACCGATATTTTTGCCCAAATTAGATTATTTTCCTCTTCAGTCTTGTAAAGAAATTATTAGAATTATAGTTTCTCTTTGTTTAGAACAGGTAATACAAAAAAAAATTCGTTGAATAAAGTGCTCATCACAAACAGGTTCTGAATGTCCGTCTCCTATAGTGGGACCCATTTGGACCCAGCTTGGTAGTCCTAGGATTAAAGAAGGCTATGATGCTCGCTCCTGAAATAACCTCTTTCTCTCGAAATCAAAAAAAAACATTGGAACTTCAGTCGTCTATTGGTAATTACACAAGACGTTTGTTTGTTCATGTAAATTACCCTTTTTTTTCTATCAGGAAAAACTACCAACATGACATATACGCACCTTAATGTAATCGGCACGAAAAAATTTATTACATATATCACATTTTATTTTGCTGATTGGTTCAAAATTTTATTTGGATGCTGATCTCGGAGATAACCGACCTTCTCCAATATCTCATTGATTAACTAAAACTTACATTGGATCTTGTTCCATTCCATTACCTGTGTTTGGAACAAATTGCTATATATAAAAGAAAAAAACAAGGGGGATTATTATAATTTGAATCATTAATTATTTACTTGATTGATCACTTATTAAAGTATTTGTTTTAATATGAGATTTATTACGTTATATATAGAAAAAAAATAAAAGAAGTTTTTGATTTTATTCTTGAATAATTTTTTCTTGAGATGTATGATTATTATTCAATGTGATTGCAAATTATCCTTGATGTACTTTTCTCATACGACGTAAATAAGCTGATCGATGTGCAAATTCATGTTGACATCTTGAACAATATTTATTTGTGGGATTTAATGGTTTTCGTCGATGAATTTTTGTATAATTGTCTTGAAGTTTATTTCCAATTGTTAGGGTGTGCGCGTTCCTGTCTTTTCATCTACAGCCACATCTAGCTGCTGCCAATTTATTTTCAAAAAATAACTGTAACATCTATGACAATTAAAGCGACAAAATCAATATCCCGCAGATCCAACATGTCTACTATCAGAGCATCCAGCCGCAGCGCCATAGGCAAATTTAATATGCCGGTAATATCTCCTACAAATGCAACTGCAATAGTAGCTATATTATACACAAAACAAAAGACTTGTCAGTAGTTAATAGGGAAACAGAACAAACTCTGATTTCGTCTAGAATTAAAGGACAAACACATTAGAATTGCAAATATTCCTTAGAACAACTGCAAGTCAATACTGTTCATAATTTCAACTAGTTTGATTACACTCGAACAGTAGTAAGCCGAACATAAATAACCTCAAAAGGTTTCCTCGTGAGATGTGCGCGTCTCATTGTGACGATAGTATTCGATTTCACGATTCAATCGCACGTAAATGATTTGAGATTCGGTTTGTCGTCACACGCGCGTATCAAAAATACCAGCTAAAAATTAAAATTAGCATTAGGTCATAATTAGTTACAATGTGGCTCAATTATGATCGTGCAACATACTCAGAATTTTGAACGCGTTAAAACTGATAAAAACGCGTATTTTTCAAGAAAAAAAATACTCGTTTTAACGACTTCACATCTTCTTAACATGTTTAAACGCGTTGAAGATATCATTAAAACACAGTTTTTACGGCAGTTTATCGTTACAATTGCGTTACAACCAACTGTTTCATCAGTTAAATCATTGTTTAGAAAAATAGAAATAATGGAAAATTAAGAAAAAAAAAGAAAATAAATAATGAGCGAATAGCAACAAGCAAATAAAAAATAGAGCGTCAGTAGAAACAATTAAAGAAAAAAGTTCTGTTTAAAATGCGAATATAAATAAGACAGATGGTTTCTTTCACGGTCGATTATTTTTAGAAATCAAATATCGTTTGTTACATATTATTCATTTTTCGTATTTTGTGTTAGTATAATGAAGCTTAAGATATGTGAGTTCTACATTTCAGCCTCAAAGGAGCTGCGCTAAGAAGCATTTTTTTTGTTAGTTAAAGATGTTATTAAATTTGAAATGTTAATTGCTGCAGGTGCAATTGAAGATTGGACTTATTATCTTATTAATTTTACTCCATCATCAACATCTCGTAAAATTCTATAGAAATACAAAACTAAAAAATTCATTTATTTGATTGATTATATATGTTCATCCACCTTCACCTTTAATTCGAAGTAAAAATAAAGAAGAAGATAAACGTTTAGATAAAGAATGTATTCGATTTGAATCGGATTTAAAACGTATTTATATTTATGCAACACGTTCAATACAAACACAAGATCAAACAAATTCAAATCGATATGCATTAGTTAAAGATATAAATAAAATTTTTTATTAAGAATAAATTTTATTTTTAATTGCGTTGGAATTATTTGCTCAACATTCAACTTTATTTACTGAATATTTTTATGATGATTATCCAGAAATACTTTGATGTATTCTCACATGGAATGCACATGATAATTATGATGTTAAAAAAGTAGCACAATGTGCTTATGATACTTTTTTACTTGACGTAAAATCTTAAAGAAAAACAAATTAATCGAATTAGATGACTTTTGAATTTTTATTTTAGGTAGCTAATGCATTCAAAGAAACAAATATTAAAAGACCAGAAGAATGTCGATGTGCTCTCCAAGTTTTCCAATATATTATTAAGGAATTTCGAGATAAAACTGATACACCTGAATTAGAAATTAAAGATTTAGCAATGGAAATTCGTGGTTATGGAATTTTTGCTAATGTAGCAAGTGAAGACAGTTTTGATCGATTGAAGTTATTCTTTAATTGGCTTGAAAACTGTATGGTACAGAAGAAGATGTTAAATTTATATTTGTTGGCTTAATTCAACGTTGTGAACAAATTGCAATGCCAACAATGACATTAGCTCAAGCAGTAGATGTATTTGATGAACGTTTTTATGGTTTACCGGATTTAATTGATGTTATTTCAGCTATTATTATTGAAATGACAAATGTAAAAAAAATAAGAAAACTTTTATTTAAATTTAATTAAATTTTTGTTTTTAGATTGGAGAAGAATTTCTTGGTCCACTTGAATGTTTAACTTATATGACAATTGATTATTATCCACGTTATCAACCTAAACCACAAGCAACAACATGTTTATCTATTATTAAAATGATTTCAGTTTTACAAACAAAACCAATTTCTATAAACCATTTTTATCTCGAATTGGTATTATTCGATTGTTTTTACCTTTGTTTTTTTAATAAATTTACTTTATTTAGTTACTTAAACATTTATTTGTTGTTGTTCACATCCATTAAAATCAACGGTTGAAAAACAATTAGAAAATTATGAAGCTGATATATCTGAAGAAAATACAAAATCTCTTTTATCACTTGGTAAAACTAAAACATATAAAAATTCTATTCCATTGTGAAAAACAATACTAAATGTAATTTCATTAAAAGAATTTTATACAAGTATTTGATCGACAAAATATGTTTGTTTCATTATATGATGAAATAATCAAATCGATTTTACATATTATTGATCGATTAGATTTTATGTGTTGAAAGAGATTAATTCGAAGTCATGAAAATGAAAGATTTATTTGATTATTTTTATGTCAAATTTAGGAGGAAGATAAAGATGAAACTACTACAACTGATCCTGGTTTTGGTATGAAACCTGTTTAACCAAAAGATTTTCAAATTTTTTAAAAGTACATTATGAACCACAAGAAATTACACATAGCTTGATGATAACAACATCTATCATATTGACATGTAATTGTTTATACAGCATCCAAGTGATCTACGTTCTTTGTCTACCATTTCTATCTAACATACTATAGCGAATTCTCTTATTGTGTGCCTATTTTCCTGGTCTCTAAATAAACGGCATCGTTTTTCGCATTTTAATGTGTTGACATACATTTAATTAATAATACAATAATTTCGTTCATATCGGTGAGTTGTCACCATCAATGTTTCCGATGGACATGCGAAATATAAATGTTTCTTTATATTCTGTTCATAATAGCAAATGCGCGAAAGTTTTATGTGAGATAATCAAAACTTGACTAAACAAGCAAATGTAAACGGTAGAGCTTTTTATACAGATGAGAATAAGTTTTCATTTATTATTTCTTCTATCAAAGCACACTGAATGATGCCCGAAACAAAGGATTCAGAAAAGGGTACTACGTACACTCTGATTTTCTGAGCACTTTGTGTATTAAGATGTGTATCAGAAGCAGCAGTTGTTGTGTACATTATGCTTCTGCTTGATATACTTGCAACTAGAAACATTGTTCACCATATATGTTTATTGCATTGAAATGAGCTATCGTTTTTATTTCGATTAACAATCGAATACAATATTGAATGTTGTGAATTGTCTTTAATAATCTGTGAGTATGAAATCTTGAAAACAACTAAACAAATAGATAACGTGTGATCGTACTTCGAAATTCCAGTTTTCATCAAGCTTGTCTTCTGTTTAATAATAATAAATACTATTAAACTATTAGCCATCAACTACTCTTACTGTATCTCTCTCGATATGTTATGTAAACTAATGTTAACAAACAATTGTATGAGATAAAAACTCATATTCATATTTATTTTCATGTACATCATATATTTTCCTTGTCTCTATATGTGTTAAACGTTTTTCAGGAAATTTTCTTGTCTTTGTAACTGATATTATTCGAAAGAAAAGTAAAATATTTTCGAATTGTTTAGACAATTCTTTAACGTCGTACGGTCAATACAACCATAAGATGAAGAGCCTGTTTGAAGAAAAATATCAGATCTTGTCTGTGTTTGTTACCTTTGCTAAAATAATCCAATGATAATATTTTCGAAAAGTGACATATCTAGAGAAACTGTTGTTAGATATAATCTTAGTAAATGTTGATTATTCTTTNTAATTGATGCTGTTTGTGTAATGCAAGATGAATATTTTCGTAGAAATTCATCTATTCTATCCTTGAATATTGTAATCGCGAACAGCTTACTAATTGATAACGTTCAAGACATGATACAGAAAAAACAATTGATTTATTTGTATATATCTCTCTAAATAATAATAATAAGATAAAATAAATCAAGATTTTTTAATATTTTATGTGAATATAAAACATACACGAAATCGAATTGGCATTTCATCAGTATCTAAATCAGCCACTGTTATTGCTGATGGTGGATTTGTAGTAGTTGCAGATAATTCACTAGCTATTGGTTGAATTTCATAGATACTTTCATTGTTGAGAGAGTTTTTTGGACTTAAATCATTATTTAATTTATTTGAAGAAAAATTATCTGTAACATGATGAGTACGTCTTTTGTGTTTCTAAATGATTATAATTTATAAGAAATGAATATTCAATTGCTTATTTTAATTATCGAATATAATTTTTACTTGAAACAACATCAAGAATAGACATTAATAAGAAACTATTGCGAAACTACACGATTGACCTTTTCATTATGAATTCTAGATCATTAAGAGAAATATTAATACATCGAACGTGCCAAATTCATGACTTGTATACTGTATCAGAAGATAATAACAGTATTATCGAAGATATTTGGTACTTTGTAAACTCCGATATGACTAGAGCTTTTGAGAGTCACTGACTTAATGTGACTGAATATGAAGAAAAAGATATTCTTTATGAGGTTCAAATCACACACCTTCTGCTATCCAAGCAGATGTTTTCAGTATCGATCCTTTTTTTTCTGATTAAGTGATTTTTGAGTACCTCCTACGAAGATCATATGGAAACGTTTACCAGTAGTTTCTATATTGTACATTCATGATCTTATGTCGAGGTGATCACATATTTTTTATTGCTGTAAAAGCTATATATAAATGGGATTCTGCTACACAAACTGAAACGTCGCACTATTCAGATAAGAGTTTTTCAATGAAGCTATCTCCATAGTTATGAATTGGCATTGTTTTGTTTTGTCATCAAACATTCATCGTTCTTAGATTGCGAGTATGGTGATTAAAGAAGACTATGATGCTCGCTAATGAAATAACCTCTTGCTCTCGAGATTAAAAGAAACATTGGAATTTCAATCGTTTATTGGGAATTATACAAGACGTTTGAGTGTTCATGTAAATTACCCTTTTTTTTCTATCAGGAAAAAATACCAACATGACATATACGAACCTTAATGCAATCGGCACGAAAAAATTTGTTACATATATCACATTTTATTTTACTGATTGGTTCAAAATTTAATTTGGATGCAGATGTCGGAGATAACCGATCTTCTTCAATATCTCATTGATTAATTAAAACTTGCATTGGATCTTGTTCCATTCCATTACCTGTGTTGGAATAAATTGCTATATATAAAAGAAAAAAGAACAAGGGAGATTATTATAATTTGAATCATTAATTATTTACTTGATTGATCACTTATTAAAGTATTTGTTTTAATATGAGATTTATTACGTTATATATAGAAAAAAAAATAAAAAGAGTTTTTAATTTTATTCTTGAATAATTTTTTCTTCAGAAGTATGATTATTATTCAATGTAATTGCAAATTATCCTTGATGTACTTTTCTCATATGACGTAAATAAGCTGATCGATGTGCAGATTCATGTTGACATCTTGAACAATATTTATTTTTAGGATTTCATTGGTTTCGTCGATGAATTCTTATATCATTATCCTGAAGTTTATTTCCAATTGTTAGGGTGTGGATGTGGCAGAGGTGTGGTGTGGGTGTTCATGTCTTTTCATCTACACCTAACTGCCGCCAATTTATTTTCAAAAAACAACTGTAACATCTATGACAATTAAAGCGACAAAATCAGTATCCGGTAGATCCAACATGTCTATCAGAACACCCAGCCGCATCGCCATAGCCAAGCCTAATATGCCGGTAATATCTCCTAGTAATGTAACTGCAATAACTATATTATACACAAAACAAAAGACGTGCCAGTAGTTAATAGGGAAACAGAAAAAACTCTGATTTTGTCTAGAATTAAAGGACAAACACATTAGAATTGCAAATATTCCATAGAACAACTGCAAATCAATATTGTTCATAATTTCAAACTTGTTTGATTACACTCGAACAGCAGTAAGCGGAACGTAAATAACCTCAAAAGGTTTCCTCGTGAGATGTGCGCGTCTCATTGTGACGACAGGATTCCATTTCACGATTCAATCGTACGTAAATGATTTGAGACTCGGTTTGTCGTCACACGAACTTATCAAAAATACTAGCTAAAAATCAAAATTAGCATTAGGTCGTAANCTTAAGTTTTGCATTAAAAGGCCTTCACAATCTTTACTATTTAGTACCAATAAACTCAGTTTTTAACGCGCTTTAATTTGGTATAAAATACATTTTTGATATCATTGATACTTTACGTTATAGAGGGGAGGCAAAGGTTATGTGTCACCCTGTAAGTTCTTGTCATACTTCACCATGTAGTTTCTCATTCTTAAGATTTGTCTATGTTCTCAAGACTCATACTTAATGTTTGAGTAAATGATAAACAATAATTTCCTAGTCAAGTATAAAATCTTTTTTGTCCACGAGAAAAAATAAAATAAATCTTGATGTTCTATAGATAAAAGAGTATCCGATGTAATTTCACCTTTGCATCGAAGATTCCTTCACTGTTTATTGAAATCTTAACTAAAAGTTCGATACAGGTTCCTTATTTATCATTTAAATCAATAAAAAACAAAAAAGTAAACAAATAACTCATTGTATAAAAATTTCAGTATGGAAAAAAAGTAAAGTTCTGTTTTGCGTCATGTTATCTTCGGATAACGTAGCACATTAAATGTACAAACAAAATAAAATATCTCTGTCCAAAACAATCTTTGATAAATTGTTGATTATGTTTAGATATTATTTCCAACTAGGGATACAGCGATATCTAGAACATGATGTCTAAAATGACATTTTCTTTTCCTTAGGAGTCATCTATTAACTCTTTTACGGTGGACTTATTTTCCAAAGACATAAAGTAAAGACTTATTGTTAACATGGTATATTTTAAAAAGTATTAGCGATTGTAATTCTTGCACTTAAACTTGACTTAAAGATAGAATACTGTTATCAATGACATCTATGTCAGAACACAACAAATATTGACAAGATCTGTTTTATTATATTCCAGCTTCGATCCTTGCTTAAATTTTGAAAAAGTAAATTTACGGGATTTCTATTGAGAATTTACCTCCAGTGAATTGTTTACATCAACAATGATCAAGTTTTTTTCCCTCTGTTCGAAGTTGTAGTCGAAGTATATGAAATACAAAACAAAGATTTCGAAATTGGCAAAAAATTCGCATTTTTTTTGTTTTCAACCAATCGTAACCGATTTTGAGTGCCGTGATTTGCATTAGACAAACTTAAGAATAGACTCGGCAAATGAATTCAAAGCTGAACACAAATTTCATGAAGAATCACAAGAAATGTCTGGTTATTCTCAATGTTGGGCATGTGTTTTTGCAAGCAGAAATAAACTCTTGCCATGAACTTCTGATCGACGTTTAAAATACTTCCAGTATTGAGACTAACCCACCTCCTAACAGTTGCTCATGTCAGCTGTGTTCAATTTTGTCTAATGCAAACCACAGTTCTCAAAAACCAGTTAAAATTGATCGAAAAAAACTAAAAAAATACGAATTTTCGATCAAATCCTAAACCTTTGTTTTATGTTTCATATATTTAGACTACAACTTTGTCTAGAGTGAAAAAAAACTAATCATTGTTGATATAAACAATTCACAGAAATTACATCCTTAATCAGAAAAAAAATTATCATCATAGACATCAAATTCTAGGAATCAGAATATGTCTATTTTCAATGTAAATTTTTTTTCCGAAATCTACCATATATCTTTTATCAATATAATTTGTATTGATTACACAAAAAAAGAAAGATTATTATATTTACTTGTCAACTAATATAATAATGTCAGTTTTAATATATACTATTGAGTATTTGATAGTGACATCAAAAACAAACCACTTTCATCATAATAAATTTCATATGCCTTCGAAAAATAAGTTGAGCAACATTCACATTTAATCGAAATATTTTCTAGAAATTTTAATTAACTGAAAACAAAACAAAAACAATTAGCAACTAGTTCTCCAATTGATTGGCCCTTCTATTTTATTATTTATTTTTGTATTTTAAAAAAATAAAGTTCGGTACACAGCTGTAGATCTAGACAATCTTTTTTATAGTTTTTTTTTTTCATTTTGCAAAGTTTTTACATAATGACTAATCCTATTTTAATTTGAGAATTTTTACTTAATTGATATTCCATTTACAAAATTATTCTTGATACAAAATTTAAAAAAATAAATATTTTTTTGTTCAATAAAATGTTACTCAAAATCAAGTTATTATTTGATCAATGAATATAAATAAAATTGAGATAGATGCATGAGAAGATAAGGTAAACTTCTATCTTCCTAAAATAATATGAGTTTCTTACTTGGCACATCGTTCGCTTCGAAAGTTTGCGATGACTTCCACCACTTTCTGCTTGTAAAATGTGCTTTTTCTTTTACAGAAAAAGTGGCAAATCTTCTTTCTTTCTGTTTGCGCTCATTATGTCTTTCTGATTGCGCATCCTACAATTCTCGGAAAAGCTTGATTGTAGCTAACGTTCTTTTTCTTTGATTTGAAAGAGCATGTAAAACTACGGTGCCCACGTTCTGAATTAAGATTTCACATTATTATATTACAAAAGCATTTTGTCAAATACATAATTATTTTTTCAGACTTATTCGCAGCATTATCTTGCCATTTTTTTTCCAATGCATGAAAAGTAGGAATTAAAAAAAGAGTTTTATCAGGTACTCTGGTCAAACATACTCTTTCAAGTAAATACAACATTAAAAATAAAGAATAAAGCCCACAGAGAATTTTACATAGACAAATAAGCTTTTTTATTCTTGTTTACTAAGTATATTCTTCAAGCAGCATGATCTACAACGTTAGCATAACCTCTACATTACTGCTTTAATATATCGTGAAATTTTCATACGATTTGAATATATCTAGCACAAATCGATTGTTGAAGATGAGAGTTTAACAGAAATTAGCAGTTGAGTTTTTTTTTGTGAATATTAATTTGTTTTTCTACTCATGACAATGAGTTGAGAAATTTATTTTCTATGACAAGAAAAAGTAGACATACCTGACATACGATGCAGATTAGATAAAAGTTTGGATTATGTTTTGTGGGGGATATATTCTTAGTTGATCATTGAATTTAATTGATGAATTGAAAAAAGGCTTCGATTAGAATAAACAAAAAATTGAAAAGATTTTTTATTCAATGAACTTCTAGAATATTATGTTTTGAACAGTTTTATAACACATATTTATTTTTATCAAAATAGTTTATATATTTATCAATAGAATGAGTTTATCAAATGAAACATAAATTATATATTTATTTCGGATCAATAGTTTGTTACAAAATAATAAAAATTTTGAAAAAGGTTGTAAACTTGAGAATTGCTATTGATGTTGAAGTTTGTCTATGTTTTTGAGCTCATTAGCTGAAGAATAGTAATTATCAAAAGTGCATCGATTCAATATAGAAATGGAATTATAATATAAACAACTTGAAGGTTATCTTGTTCGCACTTAAACGAGAAAAAAAAATATTATTCATCTCTTCATGAGTTAAATTTATCATTGATTGAAATCAACAATTTATTCACAAAATCAATCCAAGAATTTCAAGTAATAAATGGCACATTAGTATTTATAATTGTCACTTAATAAAATTATTTCAGAATCTTTTTGAACATCTTACATAGGTATTAAGATATCATTTATAGAACGTACGAAAATAATAGATTTTATATCAGGCTAAGAGCAGATTTCATAAAATAAACATGTTTTCAATATATTACTCATATAAGTAGTTATAAAGTACAATTAACAGAGTATTTTCATGTATAATACTAAAAAGTTAATAGTTTCACAAAGAAGCACGGATGGACTACTAGAAGGCAATTGCCACATCTAAGACATTATTAGGAGCAAATATAAAGTTGAAAACAATTTTTTCTTTAATAATAATAAGATGTTACAGTCTATTGCTATACCTCAATATAAAACGCTGACCCATCTATGCTACGAAATTAGATGTTCTATTGATGAATGAATATGAATTTATTAAAATTGAAAATATTGCATACTTCTATTGTTATGCACACAATTCATCTATTTATATCATACTCATAGAAAAATATTTTTCTTGATAAAAAAATAATGAATAAAATAGTTTATAGCACAGCCCTACATAATTAAAATGTAAAACACAATGCAATCGCTACTACTAACCACAGGGAAATAGTTTTATTGTCTCTATTTTCAGACACATTTGCTTATTATCTTTTTACTTAATCCTCGAGAGATGCAGTAATAAAGTAACGGGTGGGTCGAAAGTTTTGAGACAAAATATTTGTTCATTTTTCACCAGCTCAAAAGTATTCTAGTTGAATACGAAAACGTGGATAAGGAGCAGAATTTAATGCTCTATCCGAACATGAGTTCAGAAATTCGACATCACAATTTTTAAAGAACTGTCAGCTTTACAAAACCACTATATTCAATCGTTTTTAGCATCTTCGTAGAGAATTCACAGGAGAAGCAAATGCTAATGTGTTCATCAACCAATTTCAGTTTTCCGACATGTTCATTGATTTTCTCATTACTCTCGTACAGACACAAATACATAATTTTTGAGCCCATGTTCAGAAAGAGCACAAGTCTCTCACCATTTTGCTGTAGTTGTAATTCACCTACAATACTTTTACATAGGCTAAAAATAAAGCAAATATTTTCCAAAAGCTTCGAGTCAACCATTTTGCCCAGACTATTTTTTGTATGCCCCAAAAAGATTTTCTTGCTTCTCTCTTACAGAAATAGACATAGAATTTCTGAATTCATATTCGTAAAGAGCATTGAATTCTGATCCTTATACACCTTTTCGCATTCATCTAGAATACTTTTGAGGTAGAGAAAAATGAACGAACATTTTGTCTCAAAACTTTTGACCCACCCGTTAGTTCATATATTATAACGAAGTATTATTTATATAAGATCTATGATGAGCCGCTTCTCATGTGTCTGACATGTCTGTGAAGAGTTCAAATTTCTACCACTATATTTCAACACTCTTATTAGATCGTATCTCATAAAAAAATGTATACTGAATTTCTGTCTACTAGAGTTATTAGTCGAGATATAGACTGATCCATAAATTAATAGTGGCGATTTAGAGTTTTCCATGCTTTTTTTTAGAAGTTTTCTTAATTCCGTCAAATTTTAGAATGAAACCTCAAAATACTGTTTCGCACCTTTTATAAAAATAATTAGTCCAATAGTCTTTAGAAAATCGAGATATATGGGAAGAAGTAAGATTTTTAATCATCAATACAATATCGATAATTTCCTAATACTACTTAATAATAGAATTAGAAGACAAAGATCATCGACTAGCACTCAAGAAATCGAAACTTCCTTATCAAAACGTTTAACTATGTGCTCATAAATATGCTTTTATTCTTCTGTATCAGAACGTATCATAATTACTTTATACCCATCTTATTCTACAGATAAAGTATTGTGTATTTGTTAGGTGTTTGATTTAATTGATAAACCTCGTCAGTCAAACGGCTTCTAATCCCTGCATGAGGTGCCGTAAGCAAAATGTTGAATTTTTTAATTAAAGGTTTTTTGAAAAATAGCTTCAGAAAATGTCTTCAAACAAACTGAGTATACGTTATTAAGCATTGCTACCAACTCAAATACTTGTTTGAGCAAAAATTTGATTAACTCTTTCTTGTGGAATGTTTTCTATGAAAATCATTAGTTTTGGTATGCCCTAAGTAGTTTCTATAGATATTGGCATTAATCAAAAAATTACTTTTAAAGATAGAAAAGTTTAAAAATCTGCCATGCAAAAGTAAATAGCACAGTTTGTAGAGCAAATTTTGTTCTACGAAGCTGAACAATTGAAAATTATTTCGTCTATTGAATTTTATAGGTTTCAATTGAAATACAAAATTGACCAAAATGAAACTCCACAATCACTGCAGTCATTTATGAAAACATTCTAAAAAGTTTATTATCATAGTGATCACGAGTTGAATAAGTTAAGATAGTTTTAATACTTGAAAAAAAACATAAGAAATAAATGTAAATTACTTATTGAATCGAAAGATTAAGATGCATTCGTGAGTAAAATACCTGCTGATGAATTCTAGAAAGTCAGATCGATTATTATTTTTAGTTACATTGTTTCATATCAATCAAATCTATGCCATTTAATGCAGTTGTTAGGGTATTTGCCATAGGTTACTTGATATATGAAAGTTAACTTCAAATTCAATTCATTTAATTTGTTAATCAAAAACTTTAATAAAATATTTATATTAATTTTACAATCAATAAAGAATTTTTATTTCATCGTTTTCATTTAATCAAACATAAAAAAAACATTATTTGTCTTTTGTTTTCATTATAACGGAAATAGACAAACAAAAAGAAAAAAAATGATCAGCTGTTTTTTTTTTGAATTTTATACAAGTGAATTTTGTTTTAACCAAGTCGTTATAGTATCAAGACGAAGAATAGTTGTTACTTGTGTTGAACGCATATCACAAAATGCTTTTGAAAATCGTGATATAAGACCAACAGCAAATATACGTTGTTTTGTTTGTGCAAAAAGTATTCCACCAGTATCACCTGGACATAAATTTGGTTGTTTTATAGCCATAGCTGTTGTACATAATGTTATCGGTGATGATATATTACAATCAATTAATCGTTGTTGTACATATTTAAGACGCATTGGTTTATCAGCATTTGTTGATAATGGTCCCCAACCAGTTGCATATAACGATACATTATTAATTAATGTTGCCATATCATTCATTGTAGGTAATGGTAATGGACGAGATTCAATACTCATAAAAAGTAAATGTACTTTTAAAATAATAAAATTATTATTTGAATATAATAATTGTTTAACAGATGATTGTCGTTCAAATGAACTTATACTTAAACGATCATATTTAGCAATATAAATAATAAGTTTTGTTGGATCAAATAATAAATTTTGTTGTTTAAGATATGTTTGTAATGATGATGATTTATCAAAACATTGTGAAACACTTAAAATAGTATCTTCATCAATAAATAAACCAGAACAAAATGCATCATAAAAAAAATTCATTGATATATCACGATAAGATATTGTAACATGCCATGGTGATGAACTTGGTAATACAATACCATATGTACCAACAAAATTTAATGGATTTGTTTGTAAACTATTTGATATTTGTTGTGTATATTCAAATACAATTATTTTCCAATATGATGTTTGTTTACATTTTAATGTTGTTTGAACAGTACAAGAAAAACTTGCATTATGTATTAAATCAATTGTATTTATAAATAACATATAATCAATTAAAATTTGTATAGTTTCGTCTCCATTACCATGTATTAAAATATCATTTTTATACCATAGAACAGTTGCATTAAGTGTTTTAGCTTGACATTGTATGGAAAAACTTGATCCTAATCGTACATAATATATTGATTCTAAAGGTTTTATAAGTGAACATTGATTATCAATTGAATTATCAATATGATTTTCATTTGTATCAATTATCATCCAAGCATGTCGATTAATATGTTCACCATTTAACATATTTATTTGACATGTTATACGAGTTTGAGAAGAAAAATAATTTGTTATTGGATAAATAAATAATGTTGTACCATTTGAAACTATTTTTATTGAAGGATTTTGAATTGATAATATAGATACATCTTGATCATTAATTAACCTTTAAAGAGGAAAAAAATCGATCATTAACTAATAGAGACAGGTGGCAGAATATTTTGAATCTAGAATAGATTCAACAATATTTATAAGAGAATGTGAAGGATACACTGCTTAAACTCATCTATCAAGTGGAACAAACAATAAATATTTGAGGGTGTGAATCTCCTGTCCGATGCACTGAACCATAAACACACACATCCGTTCAAAATTAAGTTTATTGACTGATATGTTATTATTTCATTCAGTGTACAAATTAGTTCATGACAGGTTAATAACCCATCAACTCATAGAGTGGCATGCAGATCAAAGAAGAAAAAGCATTCATTCCACAGGGCAAGTCGAGTTCAGTATGGAATGGGTCGTGTTATAAAGCAATGAATGACAGATATTTCGAGTTGTTATGACCAGTAAAATGTATATTTCATAACGATAAAAATATTATAAGATCAACACGTTAGTTAAATAGAACTATTCTCAAACTGGTTTCCATCCTTGCATATATCAACATAATTCTCTACGTACTAATACTCAAATAAACACCTTATTGTTCAAGTCTCAATTTAGAAAACAATCTTTTTGAATATAAATATTTACCATTTAATGCTACCACTTTTTTGTTTACATACGAATTGTGCATGTTTACCAATCATTACAGTTGCATTACTTGGCATTTTTTCGAAAAATTCTTCATCATATTCTATTAAGAAAAAAAAAAAAGCTTCTTCTATTAAAGCAAACAAACGAAAATTTTTTCTAACCTGGTTCATAACAATCTTTTAAACAACTTTCATATTGAATTCGATCTCCAATACAATTTATATTTACTAAATCATAGTGGAAAAGATCATCTTTCCATAAACACATACGTGTTCTGTTACGTATACCATATGTTCCACATCGTGCTATACATCTCGACCATGATGTCCATTCGGACCATCGACCTCGATCTATATACAAAAAAAAAAGAATAAATTTAATTTAAAAAAAAAAAAACTTTTCTTACCTGTCATACAACATGAATCAACAATACTTGTATCATTACATATACATTGATTTGTTTCATTTGACCATATACCATAATTTGAACATGTCTGTGAACAATTTTCATATTCAATAAAATCATTTAATGTTTTATGACACATAGCAACATGTTGAGTAAAATCAATAAATGGTAATGAACACATTTGTCGATAACGTGTACGTATACCACCACCACATGTTTTATCACATGACTCCCAAGCTTTCCATGATGTAAATGAACAAAATTTCCATGGTGAACACCATCGACGATATTTTGTTGATATACAATCAACATTTTTTATAAGAATAAATATAATACTGTATAGTAAGTAACGATTCATGGTAAAAATGATATTCTTTTACTTAGTTGTTATTCCTTCGTATTCTCTATATACGTGTCAACGACTGTCAACAATGCCATCAATCACGTGTTGACTGACCAAATGGCTTATACAAACATAAAATATGACAGAACGTTAACTTAAAATGAAAACAAAAGGAAAGAAAGAGAACAACGGTCAAACAATTCATTCAATCTATATTTATAAACGATGATTACGAGTTTTGTTTTTATAGGAAATTAAAAAAAAAACAAAATTATTCAAATTGATCAATACAATTAGGAATAAATTATTGATCGATTTATGCAATGATATAATTTTCATCTGTTCTATTTTCATAATCAGTAATTAAAGGATATAAAACAGAACGTGTGCAGATTAACTGTCCGTTGATGATATAAAAAATATAGCAAAAAAAAAAAAAAGAAAGTCACTCACCTCCCCGCAGAATCTTGAGAAAATTTTCCTTTTTTTCAGCGGTTTATCCGCTTTTTTGCTTACTAAGTTTCAACTATCTCAATAAAACTACTACTGAAATGCACGAACAAGATTAAAATACATGAATTTATAAATATCTAATGAAAAGAACCTTTACAAGTCAAAGTTTTTCAACTTACGTAAATTATAATATAACTCAATATGTATGAGCATGCTCTCCACTGCTTCCGATGACTTGTGCATTTTGTTTTTCTAATTGTAATGGATACATCAAATACTTTCGCTCAGTACAGCTCACACGTTTTCAATTCTTCCTAGATCAGTAAATTCAGCGTCATTATCTATTGATTCTATATGTTCATTAAATAATTGTGTTATGAAACGTGCAATCAATACTATTTACAATCTTTTCTGTTGTCCTACCTGGTAGACATTTAAGATAAAATTTATCATTAAATCTAAAAGGTTTTAGGTATAATTACATTTTTATTTAGTTATAACAATCGTTAATCGTCATGCATACACTGAAAAATTTCGATTTACGGAAGTTTTAACGTATAATTAGTAATTTGCTTGATTCATGATTTCTTGTAGGCTTTGCAATTGACACCAGTACGTATCGAATATTGAGCTTATATTGTAATTAGCTTTGCTGTTAGTGATTTGTTCATTAAATGCAATCATTTCGACGGAGGGCAAGATTTTTTTAAATTTGTACTATATTTCATTTTTCTGATCATCGAGACTTCAAAAATCTGGAAGGGTTTATCTAGTACTGACGATTAATTAAAAAACTCCTTTCCTCATCTGAACGACAATGCATTTATCTATCAATTTAAAAAAATTACAGTTCCTCAAGCACATTTTCGACACAGAAATGATCCGAAAGATAAGTATTCGATAGCATTTTCGCTGCTTCATTTTACACAAGCCTGTAGGAAGGATTTCTCAGAAAAGCATGAATTCATTACTAACTTGACTTACGTCGTTTGTTAAAGTTTAACATAATTTTATATATTTATTATTCTTTAAAATACACTACAAACAACGTATACTAAACAAAAAACTAGAGATGAATTCTTATATATGTACAAAACATGACTAGACACCGGAGAAGCTGAGAAAGAGAAGAATAAAAGCAACACATCCACAACAATATGGCCATATATCATAAACACACACCACAACAATCCATCCGGATTAAATTTGAATCTTTATGTTGAGGATATATACGAGGGTGGGTGTGGGTGTGGGTGTGAATGTGTTCTTGCATGACACTCACACCCACACCCACACCCACAGCCCCCACTCACACCCACCNGGGCGTACCCAGGGGGGGTGCCCTCAGGTGCCCGGGCACCCCCCTCAGCCAAAAAAAGCCTGGAGGGGGGTACGGGTAAAAGATTTTTTCGGGAAACAAAAATTAATTTGTCTGCTAGTATCTAGCCCCATAATGAGTCGGGCACCCCTCTCAGAAAATTCCTGGGTACGCCCCTGATGTGAGAGCATGACTAGGTTGTCTGAAGGTTTTCGCGGCTCTTCTCATTCTTCGACGGTCCAATAGATTTTTCTGCCTTTTAAATAGATCTCTTGGTAGCTTGAAAGTCATCTCGACTACCGTAAGAGATGGATGGATTCTCCAGTGTTCTTTTGCTTTCCTAACACATTTGTTTCTGGCTGAGAACATGCTCACTGTCACAGAATCACATTGATGACTAGCTTGAAACTTTTCGTGGTAACTTTTAGATGCTGCCAGAATGTTCGAAAGTTTTCTAGTTACTCTAAAAGATGAATATGTGGGATGAAGCTTTTCCCGTCTCTTTCGCATTATGTGCGGCTCCTAAGTGTTTGCCATCGGCGAAACGGATCCATCGATTGTCCGAAGCTGCTTCCCGGCACGAACACATTTCGATGGGTCGCTTTTGAGGTCTCCATCTCTCTTTTCACATATCCGTCTGTAGGTCTAAGGATGTTGGTGTGAGTCTTAAAAATTTCAATATAGCACGGCACTGTTTACAAGCAATTAGTCCAATGAATGAGTCGTCTGAAACTTTTTTTACATCCTTCCAGTGTATACTTTGGTGGTGTCTAACATTGATCAGTGAGCTGAATGTTGTTGCCGAACCGTCTTACGGATCCTTATGCGAGGCTAAATATGTTGCCGTTATTCTCATAACCTTATGTATCACTTTACACTTGTCGTTGATATCTTGATGAATGGCTGGGTGATTGGGGCTCCTGTGCCGTTACTGTCACTCATATTTGTGACTGCATAATTTTGTCTCCATAAGTCTCAGCGAGTCGCATACTATTTCAAGCTTTCGACTGTTATTCTGGCACATTGCTCTTTGGACCTGAAAAATTGGTAGAAGGGTCGAAATCTTGCACATTAACTTCAAAGCATCATCTTGTAGCCCAAAGTTTTTCAGTCTGAGTTTAGCTCATAATCGTTGGGAACGAAACTGTTTTGTCAATAGCTTGACACGTTGCCCCGTGATTCGAAGTAAATGGTCTTTGATATTCCACATTACTGTGAGTGGTGAAGGTTGTCCCTCTAACTTCGTTACATTAGTGAACGAAGTGGAGCTTTCCACCTCGTTGTTATGAATTTTGCTGCGGTTGGAAGCTTTTCATCATTATTGGCACATATCGTTCTCTGACTGATAGGCTCTGACCGTCACCTGTGCACATTTCTTTGCGACCAGAAGCCTTTTCACTGTTATTACATTTATACACAACCAAAGTTTACTATTGTGTCCGCGTCCTTTTTATACCTACTCTCATTACATTAACTTTTGCTTTCTTATCTCCTCAATAACTGAGGTAGACTATTCGCAGTATCTTGGCATTAATTATATAACGTTCAGAATAGTTTCTTTCGCTTTTCGGATTTTCCTAATAATTTACTCACCACAATCAACTAAATGAAGCTGAAATGTTCCGTGTAGATTTGATAATATGTTCTTGTTGATAGAATTTTTTGTGTCCTAGATCGTTGACTCGTTTTTTTTTCGAATGAGTCGTATCTGACTTATACAACGTGTTAAACCTTTGTCTCCTGTTGGTATCTGTGTTTACCTTTTTTTTTTAAAATTCTTATCAAATAAACACTTTATGAAAAGGACGGCACATAGCATCAATAAAGCATTCGCTGAAAGGGAAGACGATGAGTGACGACAAAGAAACAAAAAAAAAGAAATTCATACTTGTTCAATGACATTCATTTCATATGGAGTACACAGATTGGTATTTGTTTCTGTATGATTTGAGATGATTGGGATTGTTCAAAGATAGGCAGTAACTAGGAAGGAAACATTTCATTACATCTTTATGTGATGCTTCGACTGTTGATAGTAAACAAAGTACGATTGTTCTTTAAAATCTTGCACTGTATTTCATGTTGAAATAAATAAAACGTATATTATCATGAACATGAGACACTTTCTCTTTAAGATGATACAAACATTGATAAGTTTTAGTATAATTCATTTTTCAATTTAAATGGATATTTTAAAAGATTTAAGGCTTGCTATTATTTCTCAATAAAAAAAACAAGGGAAAAGAAAAAGCATTTAGCTTGTTCATTTGAACTTGAACTTCAAAAATATTAATATTGTGTAATGTGAAGATAAAAGTCGAAATGATAGACTCATGCCATTTTAGATTCTAGTGATTATATGCGATATTTTCTTGAATGTTGTCTTTTGATAATATTCCATAACCAAAAAATGCTGTTTCAGATGAAATCAAAATTGAAAGAAATCTCCAGCAATTTTTTCATAAGTCGAACAGATACTCGAAGATATGTTGAATAGAAGATTAAACATTTTCAGGGTATGAGAGTAGCTTAATATAAATATCCACATCTTAACGTCTTTATAAAATAAGACATTTTTTAGAATTTCTTGCCATCACGTTGTCTTTTATAAATTTTTTTAGTACAAGTGTTAGTGATATCTCAGGCAACTTAGCAGAAATTCAATGATAGCAATGTTTTGTTCTGTGTTACGTACAGACTATGTCAATATTTATTATCCATATCTTGATAAGAATGTTAATTATAAAGCACAAAATATAAACTATTCATTTTTGCTATGAGAAAAATGAATATTTTTTTTATCTGTTAATTGTTGTTTTTTTTTTCAATATCAAATACAAATAAATTATATAAAACTACAAAACCAAATTTATCGATTGAGTCTTTATGTTTACTACAAAATGATAAATGACAATGACAAAACATACTTTATATAACTCATCCTGCACTTATGCTAAGATTTTGATTTTTAATAAGATCATATAGAAGAATAAAAACCAAAGTTATTGATTTATTTTTTTATTTGTCTCCTTCACAGTCATTTTAAATTTTCATTACCAATTATTGATAAAACGAAAACTTCGAAGATGACAGCAGCATTGGATGTAATCATCATTGCTGTCGAAAAACTCATTGTCATTACCTCGAAAAAAACTGAACTTTGTAACGACGTTTGAACAAAAATCGTATGACTCTCTGATCTTCAGGCCATTGCATCACAAAATAGCAACTTGAGTGAAGGGTCGAGAAAGTAAAAAATATCGCAAACGATTAGTATACACTGCTTCGCACCGTGATTGTAAATGTATGTCATCTATCGGATTGATACATTTAATATTATCCAATGAAATATTTTGAAGCAATTACTTATACTTGGACTCGGTACAAGGCATTTTTCGTGAATGATGTAAGATTCCAGCAGTCCGAAGTTTGAGAAAATTTTTTAACATTATTTTGTCGTCAACGTTAGATAGAGCTGGTCGATTGACCTCTAAAATTGATGTCGTTGAAAATATTCAAACAATGTTATTGTAGCGAAATTTAGAAAAATCAGTTTAATAAAAATTAGGGAATCCTATAAAAATTGAAACACTCCAAAAGCATCAAGCGTATTTAACCTTAATATTTATTGGGACTCTTTTAGATTTTACTTGCCATATGATTAGGCAGAAAAATTATGCATGATTATTGAAAAATATTATTTGTTTCTTGATACAAAATCGATTTTTTCGACATACGGGTTTGTACGTACATTTTGAAGATTGGGAATTCAGTTTCCAATGAAACAAACGTGTTATTTACAATCAGCAGAAAAATTCACGTTGAATAGTGCATACAGTACCTCAAACAAATTTTTGTCGAATTTCCATTCTTACATCTCTCTCGTAGCTGTTATTTTCGAATAATCTGACTTGTAGTTTCCCTAAGGTCAAAATTTGACAATAATTAATATTTACTATACTTTTCAATGCAGATTTTTTTGTTGAGTTTGAATATAATGTTTGTTTCATTGAGAACTGAAAATATCAACATATAAGCCCCCGGATATTACAATTTTTTGCTATTATATCGAAAAAATCGATTTTTTTTTTCAACAATGAATCGACATATTTTAAAAAACCATTCTTAATTGTTTTCCTAAGCATAAGATAAGTAAAATTAAAAAGACAATTCAGATAAATGTTAAGACTATCGAGACTTGATACTTTTGAAGTATTTCAATTTTTATAGGCTCTAATGATTTTTTAGTCTAATTTTCTTAAGTTTCACTTCCAAAAAAATTGTTTGAATAAGATAAAAATAAATTTGCTAAAATTTCTAGTCACTAGCATCTTAGCTACACTTATTCAATAACGTTTACTGTTTTTCACATCTTGATAGATTCGGACACAAGTGTGCCTAATGGCAGAGGCATCACCCTCATCATTCGATCAATGGATTCGATCTTTACTTAATGAATTGCAATCGAATGACGCTGACATGAGTGATTTTGTTCAGTATTTAATGGGTATTGTTACAAGTGACAGTGAAACCGATGAAGAAAAACAAGTAGCTATTGCCGAATTACTCGCTGATCTTGATTTAAAAGTAACATCAACATTTAAAAATTAGAATAGTACATTATTTTCAATTATATTAGCATGATCATAAGATTGATAATCTCAGTCAACAAATTCTCGATCGTTGGTATCAATTACAAAACACTAGTGATCATAGTTCAAACGCAAACAAAGGCCAAACCGGTAATAAATGTCATAGGCGATTATGAGTTTTTCGATGATTTTTTGACTACAAAAAAAGAAATATATTTGTACGCTTCTAATCAAAAACATTTCAATAAGTAGATGAAGTCTTTCTTCGTAAACCTACATATATCGTCTTTTGTAGTCGAAATCTTACAGTCGTCTTTACCTAATAATTGAAGTATGAAAAAACACCATTCTATCAATATTTGAAATAATTTAGGTATAAACGAAGATGATGATGCTATCAATAATGCATTAATTAATGCTATGAATCAAATGGAATCAACAGCAAAACAACAAAAACAAACTAATGATCATAATTCAAATAAATATCACGATGATCTTGTACTAAAAAAACATAAATCACAAGTATTAGCAAAATATTCTGAGATATCCGATGAAGAAATTGACTATGGAATTGAACATGAAACAACTGATAATGATTTATTTCAAAATATAAATGCACAAGCTATTGAAGATCGTGAAAAAAAAGCAAGAGAATCACAACATGAAGTAAAATAAATTACTTTTTTAAATTTTATTGTTTATTTAAAAAAATACTTTTTCTTTCTAAGGCACATAAAAAACAACAAGAAAAAAACAAAGTTGATGCTAATAACCAAAAACAGAAAGATGATGAACGAAAAAAGAAAGCACAACAACGAGCTCAAAAACAAGAGAGACGCCGTTAAAATAAAACATAAATTTTGTGTTTTCTTCCTTTTTTTTGAATTTTTGTATTCAACAACATAAACACAATAAAAGTGATATCTAAATTTTAGATAAATTTACATATAACTATATTGATTATGACTATCGATTATACTAATCAAGTTTTTATCGAGATTTTATCTCATTTAGAAACAACATGAGAAACTATTCGAGACAAACTGTTCATATTAGTTGGAATATGTTGGTTTAGTTTTGAAGTATTAGTTAAAAAAAATAAATATACTATTAGAAAGAAATGATCCAAACAATAATGTATGTTATTTGTTATTTATCAGAAGATTTGTTTACTGTTTTTCGTATACAAAGTAACTCAAGAAAATGCATAATATTTTTAACTTTTTTCTAATGCGGATACTACTCTAGCCTTTCGAATCCATAAGGTACAAATAAAAAAAAGGTCTTAAAAAGCTCGTCCTCATGTGCCTTGGAAGCTGAACTATATCCGCTTTGTTGAGTTTTCGCCTACAAAGAGATCAAAGGACTCTTAGAATGCCTTTAAAGTTCTAGCCGAAAGCAAGATTTGTTTGTCGAGCTATTAAATCTTCTTAAAAAAACTATCGTTGTCACAGGCTAGTGACCAAAGTCGAGTTTAATAATTCAATATTTCAACTGAGGAACATTTCTTTAGGCTAGAATTTTCAAAATATTCTAAGAGTAATTTTTAGTCCTTTACCTAGTCTGAATAGAAAAAATAATGTCAATACTATTACAACGCAACCGAAAAGAAGACTTTTATTTCTGTTAAATTAAAAATCTCTATATTAATTTGGGGAAAAATTATTTACCCTGACCTATGAAAATATATATCTTTATTACTTGAATGATTGACTGTCTTCTGATCGTCATTCTACCGTGATATACAACAGGTGGTAGTACGAATAAGTATGGAGCATCGGTTGATCGTAATCAAACTTATCATGCACATGCTTAGTCACTATCATAGCTTATTTCGTTTTTTTGTCAATTTAGCTCGTATTTAAATGAAAGTTTTTATTATATCATATTGGCGTTATTTTATTAAGGAAGTTATTTTATCTCCCCTAGATAAAAAAAGACACGATGAATTTATTAATACGAACACTTGTCTCTCGACAATCTTCGCTTTTTATTTGTCGTCGGCATTTAACTACGGAAAAACGACGTCGAGCATTTCTAACAGATAAATCTCGTTCATCAATACCTTCATCTCCTCGTAATAATACTAATAATAAATATCCATTGGGATTTATCAATGAAAAAAATATTATTGCTGGAATAATTATTGTTAATGGAATTGTTTTTGTTACATGGCAATTTTCTTATGCGAATTTTCGATCAAATCATGATCAACGCCTATTATGGTTTATGACAAAAAATTTTAGTATGTATTTTTGAAAATTAATAATAAATAATTTTACTTGTAAATTTTCAGTGGTATCTTGGGATGGTGTTGTTCGACAAAATCGTGTATGGACTCTGCTTACTTCAGCTTTTAGTCATTTTGATTTAACACATTTTTTGATTAATAGTTTCGTTTTATATAGTTTTGGTAAAACATTATTTTATCTTATTTGTTTTTTTTTAAACATGATTATATTTATATAGGTCCTCTTGTTTTAAATCATATTGGTTTACCAGCGTTTATTCAACTATTTCTTGTTAGTGCAGTTGGCTGTTCACTTGGTCATATATTTTATCAACGATTTTATGATCGAAGACCTAGTTTACCAGCTGTTGGAGCCTCCGGTTAGTTTAGTTTTGTTTCTTGAAAACATTTTCTATCAATATATGTGCTATTTCAGGCAAGGTGAGACATACTTACCTTTCATTTGATTTTGATTTTTTATAAAAATTATTTTTCTGAATAAATTCTCTAAGCATAAGCATATATAAAAATGTTGACTCTTTCAGCTAACTATTAATTAATTAAAAAGTAAAAAAGGATAAATTTAATTTCACCATATCTCTGTAACTATATGAATTCTAAAAAACTTCTTAAGTTGGTTTTGAACTTCTCATTTAATAATATAGAGGTTACTTTCGTTTGTATATGTGCACTCAGTCATGTCGGTAGCGAAAAGTAAATCAATTTTTTTTGAAAACTCTAAGCCTGATGAGGAAAAACTTTCGATAGAGATTTTATAGCCCCATGAGTTTTCACTGATAACTCCTTTGAACAAAGGTCTGTAGCGCTGTTTTTTAGAATAACTTATCAGACAGGTAACATACAAAAATTAGCTCGAATAAAATTTATTATTTTGAGAAACACGCGTTTTTGCTTTTGTGAAATCACATTGCTAACGAAGGATTTTGTTCATGTGCGTTTTTTGCTTTTATTTTAGGTGTTACAATGGGCATGGTAGTACTATATTCATTTTTTCGTCCATTTGATACTGTTCTTCTATTTTTTATTGTACCTATGCCAGTTATTGTCGGTGTTGGAGCATTTATTGCATATGATCTCTATCGAGCTATAACACATCGTCAAAAAAATATTGGCTCTGCAGGTCATATTGGTGGGGCTATTGCTGGTGCTTTGTATTATTTTTTAAAAATTCGTGGACGATTATAAACAATAGTTTTTCAAATAAAATCTGCAAATTTGTTTTCTTAGTGAAAATTCATTGTAAAAGAACAGCCTTGTATATTGAATAAATTACTTGTAACGAAAAGAAAATCTTAATATCTATTTATGTTGTATGATGTAGAAGAACCAATATTCATATCTATTTACTTTGAAATGTTGTTAACATACTATTACTTATACAAAAATCTATGTTTCTAATTGGTAAATTCTTCAGAAATAATTGGCAGGAAAAACATATAGTCTATATATGACACAGTTCACATGAGAATTCAGTTCGGATTGGAATACGAGCAATAATTAAAACAACAATGATAGAAAAAAAAAGGTAATGAAAAGAAAAATTTTCTAGAGAAAAAGAATAATTTAAAATCTTTTTTATTATACACGTAAATAGATCACAGAATAAAATTAGACTTTTAGGATGATAAATACAAACATTTTTTACTATCTATTTTAGTTCTTCTATTTATATTGAGCAAAACAAACAATTTTTTTTTGCTTTGTTTTTTTTTATCTGTTTGTCGATCCATTATATTAGTCATAGAATGAATAATGTTAGCTATTCGCTTGAAACTTTACCAGTATGGAAACATGTCACACATTTCTTTAATATTATTTTAAAAAAGTTCTGTTCACTTAGCTTTCATCTTGATAATAATCGTACACTTAAAACCGATAAAATAACTTCTTTTAAGTATTTTTTTATGATTATCATAATAAATCATGATTTTATTATCTTTTATTTATTATTTATTATATCAATAATAGAATCCATTTTTATATATGTCATCCTGATTTCTTCTCTCACAGTTAGAAATTATTTTTACTAATTTAAATTAACCTAAAATTTTATTCTAAGAAAAATCTGAGATCTTACGTTATTCTGTATAAAGAAATTATATAAATAAAAATATTAAATCTGAATTTAAATCTATACATTTAAACGAAAACACATTAAAAATTATTTTCATATTGATTACTTAATGGTTTGCATTGATTTTTCTTTTTCAACATTCTCTATATAGGTAATTATGGTAAATATCAATAATTTAAATTAGTAAAAAAAAATGAAAACCTTTGATAAGTTTTTTCGTCTATTTCGTTCCTGTTTGCATAATATTAATATTAACCCTTTGAATACCAACATACTTTATGAAGTATAGTTTTTGAGCAGTAGTCTCTCAGTAAACTATCGCGTCTGCTAGATGACAGATCTTATTAGGATCGTTGTTTCAAAATGAATCTACATTCTCAATGGTCGTCTTCGGCATAGCAAGAATTACATCACGATATCTTGCTGTTTTCGCGAATTATTTAAAACTCAATGGGGTGAAAAAAAAGGCATTTTCATTTTAAAGCCTTCTTACTCCAGCAGTTAAAGACAAAACTAACAGAACTAAAACATTGATTGATTGATGTTTCATCCAAAAATTCGATTCAAAACTTATAAATAAGGATTATGCATCATATACCATCGATTTTAGTATTTAGGCAATAAACTTAGCTTTCAATTTCGCTAGTTTGTACAACCATTCATTTTCTCCTAATGTCATAATTGTAAGACACACATGTGACGCAATGCACCCTTATTTTTAAAGATCACACGACATCAACCCCCTGGTCGTGTTAATGAACACTATTAAAAATTCTTTTCTGAATTTTTATCGATCATTCGATATTGCCATGTCTCCATGTCCCCGACATAGAAAAAAAAGTCATTATTTATTTTAATTTTTTTCAAACTCTTCCATGTTCTTATGTCTGCAACGTAAAAAAATTTATATCAAGCATATTTATTGTCCTTTCAAGATTTTTAAATAATTCAGTCTCTTCATGTCACCAACATAAAGAAAAATTCTCAAAATACATATTCAACAGAATCAATTCATACTATCCATAAAAAAAAGTATTTATTTATATAACACCATAATCTACAACTAGAAAACGTTAAAAGATATATTCCAATCTCAATTGGATTCTAATCTCACGTGCCACATATGCTTTGAAAATGTTGTTCAAGATCAGTATGATATTGTTCATCGTCTTGATTTCTTTGTTTAACTGATTCGTAAGTCAGTGAAAGATAAAAAGGCAACAGTTAATTTTATTGTTTTCTATTTTAGAATATTGACAAAATATTTTCAAGATCCTTTTGTAAGTGATAATTGAAAAATGTTCGATTTTTCATCACGTTTTTCACGTCAATTGTTCTTGGTAGGATAACATTGTATATAACTCTAGTTCTGCACTTCGTTTACATATTAAGGCAGAGTTATAACCGGACCGGTCGAAATAGCTGGATCGGCCGGTCTTCGTCGGTTTTTACTGTTTGAAAGAAGTTTTATAAATATGCCAGTTTCTCTGATGCAACATGCCGAGAGCAAGTTTGAGTGTTCTTTTCAAAATAATCAAACAGTATTTTTTCAAAAACTATCAGCTTTATTTCTTTAATGGAAGCATATTTTATCTCGTAAAAAATACTATCAAAACTGTGTTACTTGAGCTAAGCTTCTCAAATGATTTCGTTGGTGTTTCGCTAGAGACCAGGTTTATTTCTGAAACATCGTTTGAAGAGAAAGGTTAGGTTTGTCTGTAAAACCTGAGTGGAAAAGTTCAGGATTTAAAGTTAGGAATCAACTATTTGGTAAATGACTCTTTTTTCGCGTCATACAGAGAAACACCACATATTCATCTTTGAGAAACCTAAGAGATATAAACGGCTACAACATGATATTTTCTCTTGGAGATTTGTGAAAACTTGAGCAGGTAAACGAAAATGGGTGTTTTTGATAGCCATTTTCATTGACTGATGCAAAATAGCCTAACCACCGGCCAGTTTAAAAGACGCTTCTAACCGACCGAACCGGATCGATCAGACAGGACTAGATCGAAAATTTTCGACTGGTTACAACTCTGTATTAAGGAATCATTAGCCATTGTGGCTTTAAAACAAGATCTCAGTGCAACTACTCAATCAACACCGTTGGCAATTTTTCACGATGTGAAGAAAAGAAATGTTAAATTTAAAATCAAAGAAGAACAAATATGATTCTCCAACAACAAATAGAACTTTATCTCTATTACTCATCAGGTCTCTGGATGTACAAAAAAAGAAGAAAGTATAGATACATCTTTAATCTTCATTTTCGTTGATTCGATCTAATATGTATGTTCTCTTGATAATGAGTTTCAAAGACATTTAAAACTTGAGTTTTTTGTTATTATATATTTATTAAAAATTAATTTTCTTTATCAGCAACCGATGAACCACTGCTGGATAGATCAATAACTGCTGCTGAAATGTTTGATTGATCATTATCGTTTTGTAATGAATTCGAACTTGATTTACCTTCATCGTCATTATTTTCACCAAGAAATGTTTTTCGAAGTTCTTTATATTCATTTTCATTAACTTCATATTGTTCATCATATTTAAATTCATCTAAATAAAAATAAAATTCAAATATTTTATTGAATTGAATGTTTACTTTACCAAGCATGGTTTCAGGATCACATCAATCGAGATATTCTAGCGTATGTGTATATTTATCATTTTCATCAACCAAATCTAAACCAGATTTAATAGCTGGATATTCTTCAAATTGATTTCGTCGTACAGTGAATAAAACTCTAATCATATCTTTTGTACGTTCCGTTATTAATGGTCCATGAAGTAAATTATTTAATGTTGAAAAATGAGAATCTAATTCTTGTGGATTAATTTGTGATCATTTTTGACCACATTGATTTAAAAATCGAATAGCTAATTTAACGCTATTACTTGAAACATTGCGAAGTAATACGTCAAGTATTTGAAACGCAATCTTTTCATGTAACTAAATAAAAAAGAATTAGAAAACAATAGTAGAATTGTTTTGGTCAATAAAATTAAAAAAATACATACCATCCTTTGATTAATCAAATGTGCAAGAAATTTTATCATTATAAACGTTTTCTTTCTTTCATTAGCCATAAATGATTCACGATATAATGATATTGCACGTTTACAGATTAATTGACTTATTTGTGGAAATTTTGGATTTATAATGCATATGAATGCAGCATAAACATTAGTCTTATTTGGTGACTTTTCTTGTGCTTGAATAATAGCACTAGCAAGTATACCACGAGCATGAACCATATTATTTTGAACTAATGTCGGATTTTTTTAAAAGTATTAACGACCATTTTCTGAATAACTTTTGATTACTTTGAGTTATCGAGCTGCGGTTTTCACCATTCAAAAGAGCAAGNATTCTCAGTAAGATCTCTTTCTATGTGAAGTTTCAAGTCGAAATTCGAAAATCATTTTTTCTGGTTTTCCTGAGAGGGACCACCGCATTCATTTAAAAACATACCGTAAAAGTGCAATATCTCCGTAGCAATACGCTGGCAGCCTGAACGTTTTTCAGGGTATTTGTAACTCATTTGTACCTCCATAATGCACGTAGTCTCAACACAAAAGCGATTGATCACTTGGAGATCTTCCCTCGTTAAAGTAATAATTTGTCGAATACGAATATCGAGTTAGACACATTTCGAGTTAAACTCTGTAACGGAAAATCACGATGATGCATTTTCGAATAGCAATCGTTTCGGTGCTCCAATTTATGCATTTCAATTCATAATTTTGCTTCTGACCGTGTGTGTAACTCATCAACATTTCATAAATAACATATAATACAATATAGTATATGATTTTTGTATTATGTCAGCTTGATATTTCCTTTGTTGTATACTTCAAGTTTGTATGACAATTTCATTTTACTATTTCTATAAGGATTAATTATTCACTAAGACTTGAATAACTTCATATCTATAGAACGAATGCTTTTTCTAACAGTCGCTAAAAATAGAATTGATGTAATTACTGTTTCCATGGCATTATGTTTTATTTGATTTATTTTCAAGATGGTTGCTTTTTTTCATGTCATTTCACTAAAAAGAAAAATTTCAAGTTTTAAATCAATATTTGCATTCAATGATAAGAAATCGACGAATGAGTTTGTGGCTATTGGATTTAAGTTTAATGGTTTCCAGTCTTCATATTTTGCATTGTTATTATTTTCGAAAAAAGATTTCCATATCGAATCATCTGATAATTAGCTCATATTCGTTTTTCTTCAAATTTTGCGATAATTTACAAGAGGTATATCATCTTATTTTTAAAATTGCTTGCTTGATCACAGATTCGACAAGTATACATAAAGAGAAATAATTAAATGATTATTTCTATATCTATATCTACTTAAGTCATGACATAATCAATAATTTGAACAATAGAATGCTAGTCCTCATTCTTGAAATCACCGCATTGAAAATGCTGTCGACGATAGCATTCGTTTGTTTATCTATTTATTGATGAATTATTCGAAGTGACATATTAATCAAGCATCAGTTGACGTGGAAAAACATTCAAGTGAGTGACTCTCTTCAGGTCTAGAATGAAACTTTGGTTGCGGTCATTTGCCGTCTATTGATGCTTTTAAGTAGATTTAATCAGTGAATTTCATGAACTAAATTTGATTGGCATAACTGAACATGACGGGTATGTTTTATGTTCTTCTGACTGGTTGCATTCGTTACTGTTTTGTTGAGATACATTTAAATGTCGCTTATACAGGGCTGGAAACAATATTTTGATAGGGGGGTACCACTTTATTCTGAAATAGAGTTAATAATGAATTTTATACCAAATGAAAGTCCATCAAAAATTGGGTTTATTGGTACTAAACAATAAGTGCTATGGAAACTTTCGTGTATTGAAACTGTCAAAGTTAAAAGAATTTTGCATAATGCAATCATTATAAATCATTTTCAGCGGGTTGTAAGACAAAGAAAAAAGAAAATATTCTTTGGAAAAATTGAAAAGAGCATCCTTCTGGGGATCATAAGTGTGCCGATATTGATGGCACGCTTCGATGATTCTCCTTCCTCCTCCTTCTGTTCTCTTTCAATTGTTCTAATATCTCTCTCTTCTGTCTCTCTTCTATCTCTCTCCTATATATACATGTGTTATGTATGAAATTGTTACACTCTGGATATGTGAAGAAGCGAATAAACATCATTGCTGAGAGTGGCGGTAAGCTACTCCACCTCTATTCAGTTTGTCATGACGTATCAAGCCAGTCAGGGCCTTATTGATCGTTACACATACGATGTTGATACAATTCAATTTCTATCAACTGTAATTGTTTGACATTTAGCTTGAAGTTCAATTTTACATGTGGATTCAGCTTCATCATAACAATTTCAACATAATCTTTATAGGATCCTTCGAAAATTCTAACTGTTTATCTAATTCAAGATGCATCACAAAGAATATTATTTAAAGTTCAAAAGGTATTTTTACTCTTTCTTCTCCACCTCCAGTTCTAGTCGGTGTTTCACTGCTAGATAATACTGGACTATTTGAATATATTGATGAAAAACTACTTGATGTTATATATGAACATGAAGATGACATAAGATGTGGAGATATATATGGAGCATTTATTGAATTTACTGATGAAGATATTAAAGAAATTTTTGATATTTCACCATCTAATAATAAATTTCTTGCTTATGAGCAGACAATAATGTGTATGGACAATTGTGTGCAAGGAAATTGTGTGTTAGATGTTTGTGCGCAGATAACTGTGTGCAAAATGAATGTGTGCTATGTGCAAATCAATATTTTTGTCAAAATGTGAAAGACAATGAAGGAAAAAAAAAGTAGACAAAATAACAAAAATTAATCAAAATGAATAAATCTATAAACAATTATAACATGAATGTGTGAGCAATTACTTTTACTTTTTGTATATTATCATATGTAGGATTTTCTAAAATCCGTGAAATTCTGGATGCTGTGTTGAATTTGGATTCTCTTTGGTTTTGGTACGAGACCTGTTACTGGTTGTGAAATTTCACCGTCTACGTATGATTGCTCTGTTTGAAGGTTACTCAAAAAAAGCCAAAATCCAGGATGAGCTGAATGTGCGATACTTTTAAGTTGTCGGTGCCATCCTTCGACGGCATTGTTAGTGTGATCGAACTGATTTCGTAACAAATTGTGTACATTCCAAAACGTGATTGGAAACGTTGGAATTATCCTTCTGTTGCGACTTCGAAATCTACCTATATAGTAATCTTCAAAATAGTTGTAAAGCGGATCAAGATCTGAAATTTGTAGATCACCAATATCTTCAAATGCTGAATAGATATCATTTGTTTCCGAAAAAGCTAATGCAGGCAGCATTCGTACTGCATGTGCATATTCTTCATCGTTCCCATATTTAGTTGTAAAACCTGCTTTTTGAACTTGTCGATAGACATTTTGTGTCAAATGGAAGAAACAAGCATGAACACTTGATTGAGGCCAACGGGAATTGATAGCTTTCATTGCTCCTAATTCAAAATCGATGAGAAATGAACTAGGATAACAGTGGCCTTAATGACATAATAGTATCATAAACCCTCTTGTAATTTTCTTCGCTTTTACGAGGCATAAGAATATAAGCCAATGAAATGATATTTCTTTGTACTAAACCATGGATTGAGTACAATTGGTAATAAAGTTCGGGGACGACTTTGAATGTGCCATCCATATACACGTCTGTACACGATTGAAGAAGATCAAGTTGTTGGCTCGTCGCGAATAATAAAAATCGATCTGAATCATGGTATCCTGAGTCGTATTGTAGAAATTGTTCCTTTTTCTTTGTAAGAGAAAATGAGCCGTTTATATGTATTTCTGATAGTGATCGAGGATTTGCTGGAAAATTTAGATTAGCAGCACGTCGTCGACAGATGGTACGTTTCAAGTTATTGATAGGTGGAAACTGGCTTAATACTGCAGTAGATGCTGTAGCAATTGATATGGCAACAATTGAATGTGCGGCCATTGTTGTTTTAGACACGTCACGAATTTCAGAACGACATTGACAAATTCCACTTATACTCGGATTTGGAGCATGATTGTGGTCGTCAGCTCGATGACAAATTGTGTAATTAATTGTATGCAATCTAGCTTGACATTTATGTTTGTTGCATTGTGTACATCGCCAATAAACTTTATTTTCATGAGTACGTTCTTGAATGTAATCAAAACCGTTCTCAATCAGAACCGGCTTGTCTTTTTCAGTTTGAGAAAATAAAATGGCCATGATGTATTTGTACTTTCAATGTGATCTATATGCTGGTGAATTTTAAATGACTGTAAATGGATAACGTCTTTTTATTCTCACTCGTTTAACTACTCTCAAGGAAAATTGATCGATGTGCATGCACATGACCGTCTGTTCTCATAATTATCTTACACGCAATGACCTCTTCTCATAAATGTCTTACAACTGTATGTTCTCATAATTGTCCGCACACAATTGTCTTACACACTTTTGTCTTACACACAACAGTCATAGACCCATTTCTCAACATTATCGCAGCCAATAATTAAAAATTATTTTTTAATAGAAAGCATTTCAGTTGATCACAAACATGATTGTTTTTCTTTATGAAACCGCTATTTCATATATATCTGTGCTTGAGTAACAATATCAAGACTAAGCTAAACTTATAAGAAAAAGACAATGATTATTGATCAACGAAAATTTGTTTAAAGAAGCATTATTGTGACTAGCTGAACGGTTGTTCATTCTAACATATCGTGTTTTTATTCTGGATTGTGATGATAACCAGAAGTAAGCATGAATCTAATTTTTTCATCTATTTACTATAGATTGTTAGCCTAAGAAATAAAAAAGAAGATATTGTTATGTGATAAATGAACAGTTACTGTGTTAGCGAGACGATTGAGAACAATAGATGAAAGTAAAGAGACCATTCTGAACATCAAATAAGCTAGTATATGATCATCTTTTATGCACGTAAATGGCCAACAAGCGATTGGCGTACAAAGCTTTTTGTCAATTGTTTTAGACTTTCGTATTGCCTTAACAACGACGAATATATGAGGTATTTTATCGGTTGAGAGTTCATTTGGAATTTTTTTAATATTTCGAATACATACGTTTACGAGTAACATCTTAGGTATTATCTAAAATTTATTACACTCAAGTAACATTATTATTAAGAAAGTGCATTATTAGACAACATGTTTGAAATAGCGTTCATAACACGTTAATCAACCTTAATGAAAAAGAAATCGTAAAAATGTGCGTTTTTTTTAATTTTATTTTCGTTGTTTGTTTGACTGGGTAAAAGTGTAAGTATTATTGTTGCAGAACTTGAATCATTCATTCACTATGGGAAACTCAAATAATCAACCAATGAGACACACTTCAGTTCGTATTTTTTATCTAGCATGTCGTTCTGGTGATATTGATACAGTCAAACAAATGTTAACAACAATGAAATTGAAATAAATAAATCGTTTAGAACCCAATGGTAGTACAGCATTACATGCCGCTGCTTGGTATGGTCATCTTGAAATTGTTGAATTGCTTCTTAAATACGGATGTTCGACTACAACAATTAATAAATATGGAAAAACAGCAGCAGAAGAATGCAGTGATGAACGAATTCATCATGTGATACAATCATCGCTAGTGATTCGTGATAACAATGAACAAACGAATGATCAAGTGTCTCAATTAAAGTGGTGGCAAATTTATGAAAATGTCAATAACGAAGATAAATCCGTTTTAACTACAAAGATAATGAAGTTATGTCTCACAACGTATTTAATCAATCAATTTAAAACGAATGACAGTAGTCGAACAGCTCATATAAAAAAGATCGTTTTTCAATCGTACGATAGAAATTACTGGCGATGTGATTCCCCGATATTATCTATCCTCGAAAAATTTGAAAAGGCCAAAGATCTGAAGTATTTGATTATTCTCTTATCACAACTGACTCCTTTCTTTCAGTACATTTATAATAATGGAGATGAAGTATTTGTTATGGAACTACTCAGTAGTTTATCCGAGTTCAAACATTGTTTCTTCGTCGGACATGCTTATCGAAGAGAGATTCTAAATATAGCTGAATTTGATTTTTATCTTTGGGCATGTCATCATCGGGCAAGTTTCATTGAAATGCGCTGAATTACAAGGGCAAGTAAATCTCGCGAAGTTGCAGAAGTGTATGGCACGCACTCGGATATTTATAGAGATAAAAATTAATACACTTTTTATTATTGATTTCAGTGAACCGTGTGAAACAGCAATAGATAACAGTAATTTTTCTGGAACCTCTAATGAAGACTGGATTCTCATTATACCTGGAACATTTTTTGAAGTAATATTAGTTAAAAAAGCTTCATCCAACGATGATTTCATCTGACATGGCCATTATCGAACTGAAAAATATACCTGTATCACGTGAAATTTTGCTTAAAGCTATAAATGAACTTAAGAGAAACTCCACGAGAACGCAAAGCATGACCTCAATATATGAGGCAATCGTTAAAATTTAAATTTTTGATTTTTTTGGTGTGCATTCGAAAGAACATTGTTTAAAACTAATAAACTTCAATTTTTATCTCATTTGGATTTATTAAGGTAAACTTAATCTTGATCGACTTCTAGCAACATCTTCTTATACTATCAACGAAAAAAATGAACTATTTGAAATATTAAATATCATTCATTTACTAGGCTAGTGTGAGTAACAAAAGTAGCAGTTTAACAACCTACCACATCCAAATTTTGGATGTATATCTGCTGATATTTATCGAAATCATAAGGTTCCACGCTGAATTTTGCATATGTTATGTAGCTTTGGATTCTTTACGAAATGGTACAAAAAACTTAGAATAGATACGAAAAGTGGCATATACTGTCAGTTTCGAGGTGAAGAGTTTAGAAGAAAATGATCCGAAGCATTTGTCAGGAAATTTCATTTATAAAAATTTTCACCTCGTACAAATTAGGACTGTATGCTGGATCGAATAGCATAGACAATTCCTTGGAAAAAAGAAAAAGAATTTCGATCTCCTCCTACATTCTTGAGAGGTGGTATAGAAATTTCGAGAAAATTCTTTTTTTTATCTGTGATTTAGTGGCATCGGGTGGACATCTCGTGGTCTTTAGACTACTAAATCACAGATAATTATCTCGAAATTTCTGTACCCAATCTCAAGAGTCTAGGAGGAGGTTGAAAATTTTGTTCGTTTTTCCAAGTAATTGCCTATGTCATTCGATCCAAGAAAGAGTCCTAATTTGTACGAGGTGAAAATTTCCATAAATGAAAACTCTTGGCAAATGCTTGAGTTCGTTTTCGTCTAGACTGTATATCTCGAAACTGACAGTATATGCCACTTATCGTATCTATTCAAAGATTTTTTTACCACTTCGTGAAGAATCAAAAGTCACACAACATATGAAACGTCCAGCCTGGGATCTTATGATTTCGACAAATACATAGTCAGGAGACGTTGCTAGAAGTCGATCAAGGCTAACTTTACTATAATAAATTCAAATGAGATAAAAATTTAGATTTATTTGTCTTAGATGATGCCCTTTCGAATGCACAAAAAGAATTGAAAAATTTTAATTTTGATGAGTGCCTTGGTTCTTTGATGTTGTCATGGACACTCTTGAATAAAAATGAATTATACGTTATTTCTGTACTATGTGCATCATTATTTCATGAAGCATTTTTTTTCTAAAAAACTACTCTTATAAAATTCGACTAAATTGCAGAATAAATAAATTCGACATTATCATAACTTTCACTAGTCATGAAATGCATTTGTATCAAAATGACAAATTATCAACTCTGTCAATGATTTACATAGTTATACTACGAAAAAAGATGAAATTCAAGAGTATTGTAGATTTGATAATGTCTTTCTATTTTGATTAAGGCTGAAAAAACGTGCCATAGAGAAATAAATTATTCAATATATAATATTTTCTGTTGTAAAATTATTAAAAATATATTAAAGTAGACAATATAAAAATATTACAAGTCATTTTGTAATTACTTTTGTAAATGTTTCAATGTTATTCTAACAAATGGATTTTCATTTGCTTGTAAACCGATACAACAAATTTTATTCTATTAGTTATTGTAGACAAATACATAATTTTCTTTTTCGCAAAATCTCGCTTTTCTATTGTCTTGTTACCTTTCATTTTCTCTTATTCTTTCAAAGCCAACAATAGTATAATATGCCATATAAGGCAACAATAGTAATGATGCCAAAGGAAAAACGGTAGTCGTCACTGCTACTTTTTTAACTATAATAAAAAAGAAAATCTAAGACAAAGAAAACCATATCCCTCAAGTAAATAGTAACAGTAATATATAACGAAAGTCATGATGAAAATATTGAACAAAGTCACAGGTAATATGCTTTTATGTCTATATCTTTTAAAATCACTATTATCATGCAAGGAAAAAAGTGATGAGAAAAATAAAAGAATCTGTTTGATATAGATTTCAGACTTCTATTAGCAACAGTCTGAATGATATTAATCGATCTGTTATGTTGCACAGTATTCAATATTGTTTTCATCAAGACTTTGTTTTAATACAATAGATAAATTGCAGATTAGCGCCATCTAGTTTTTTATCTCTAAGAAAACAAAATGATCAAATCCTCTTTTGAAAAATATTTCATCAAAGTAGACACAATGATATTTTATTTTTTCAACCAATTAATTATACAATAGTTGAGAACGTATGATTTTCAGGTTGTTACTAGCAACAATCAATGAACCATTAACGGCGGTAATTTATTGTAACAATTTTGAGACAATGAATTTTTCTATTAATATTACTTCTAGGTAATAATCAATAATTGTATGTTTTTATTATGAATGATATTAATCGAGATATCATTTCTTCATGTAAACCTAAAGGTATAGATTTCGATTTTATTTTCATTTGATCATAGAACATTTGTTTTCTAGAAAATCCGTATACAAGTATTCCAATATCTAATCTTAGTTCTAGTTCAACAAAGACAATTCGTGATTATGATAATGTATGTAATTGTTTCAGAAATAATGACAATTACTTTTCTTTTAGGTCAAACAAAATATTATCAAATTTAATTATTCTACTCATCAAAATAATATTGTTCATTGCTTTCTTTATTAAGAGTTTTCACTTCATAAGATTAGTAAAAATATCCCAACGAAAAAAAGGTTTTCTTGAGATGAATTAATTGAGATCATTTGTTGTTTTTTTTCAT